GTCTTTGTTGAAAGGGCACTTCATGAAAAGGGGGGTTCGTTCGAACCCAACAACCCCCCTGGCTACGGGCTTGTGTGATTAGTTTGTTAATGATTGCCTTCTTCAGCATCGTTTTGCACGGTAGGCCTATTGTGGGCGATGATGATAATGTCTATCGTTTTAATAATTTTTTATAGATACGCCACTGTCTATAAGAAACTATGTTTTGATGACTTAAAATGACTTTTGTACAATTGATAAATATTTTTGGCAAATTATATTTACCAAAATGAACATATTTGTAAAATATTTAACTACCATTGCAAAACGTACTTAAGGCATGTCCCATACCGCCAAATTTTGTATTGGCATCATATAATACAAGATGTAATTGTATTGGTAATCGCGTCAGAATCGAGTTTCCTAGTCCTAATATAATACACATACGTTAATTTAACAACTATTTAATAGTATTTTGTGTTTTCAGGCTGCAGGTAATGTATTTAACTATAGTAAGAATCTACTATTAATCACTTGTTTTATTCTTGCATTGATTCAACAGGCTCATACAAAGAAAATTGTGTCGTTCAAAATCAAAATCGAACCCTAGGTCTATCGCGATGCAACAGCTGATCACTGAGGCTGATACAGACTTGAAAACAGCGCATGCGCAAAATAGGTTCTATAAGGATAATTATGAATAATTCATGAGATTTTACCAAACTATCCTACGTTACGCAATCTCCCTCGCTGCGCCTGTTAAAATATTTTGATCCGACTGAGGGCGTAGTTTATTTCATATGGAAAGCCACGATCATTTTTTTTTAAAACTCACACGTATATATATAGTTTTTCTTTATTTTTTTTCGGAGATTTGTGTGATTAAAAATATATAGTCAAATTTAAGTAATTATAATGTATCAAAATGCATTGTGATACTGTTAATTAGCGAAATTATCAATTAGCTATAGGTTTTTGTAGAGACGTTATTCCAGCCTCGTGAGGTCACTTCTCAAGGTAAACATCGACCGTGACAAGCGACTAAAAACTGGTTATAAAAGTTGCTTTTTTCGTTAAATCCCATTTTTTGTTCGACGCAACATCAAGATATGTTCTTTCCAATATATAAAGGACTTACGGTTTGAATTTCATTGAAGTAGGAGCTTAACCATGATGAAGGTGATTTTTTATTTTTAATAGGCTTTAGTAATTTGCCATCTGTCAAATTAAAACGGTAAATAAAAAGATATGGGTACGACGATACCACGGTATGGTTAAACACTGACAGTACATACAAAATGAAAATCATTCATCGTATAATTTATGATCATAGCACCTCTAGATGACCGGAAATGCACTCTCAGACTTACATTTTGGACATGATTTTCTTTTTATCTCCATAAAAAAATGACAAATTTAGGGGTCGGGATAGGCCGGTTGCCCCGTCCCTGAATCCGCCACTGAAGGATAATAGAATTTAATTGTGAAGAAGAACTGAATGGATGTTTGGAAGATAAAGGACCTCTAAAGTAAGGTCCGATTACGTGAATTGTCAATGTTACGATTTTAATTTTGTTTATATTCTCTCAGTGCTTAACCATACTTTTGTATTGTCGTATGCCTATATTTTTATTTGCCATTTTAATTTTATAAATGGCATTAAAATTCATCTCAATAGTTAAATGCCTAATTGTCTTAATGTAATGAGTAAATATAAAGATATAATTATATTGCAGCACATAATTTCCACTACACTTAATGTGGGAGAACTTAAAAAAAAGATCATGACTGAAACAAATTACAAGTGCAATGAAAATGTCGGAAACATAATATGACAACAAATAAACCACTGCGCATGTCAAAATTCAGTCACATGTATTGTCTATCCAATAATTGCAAAATGTCCCCTAGCCTTTTTTGTATTGAATATGAGCTTTGATCTACATACAATAATGTTAGCCTATATCGAATTATATATTCATTGAATTACGAGTGACTATACTACCAGCGAGTAAATGTATATTTACAGACTAAACGGTAGTGGTTGACAGTTTTAACCAAATTCACCTTGCAACCGGTTTTAAAACTCTATTCATCGTCATGGCGGCAACAATTGATGTGTTGATACAACAAAATGTTTCTGTAGGATTATTTATTTTTGTGATTTGTACATTTTTACCTGTCATGCTGGTGACGATAATTGGAAACTTGATTGTTATACTCAGTGTGTACCGGAAACGTTCTTTAGCAAAAACTCCGAATAGTATCTTCATATCATCCTTAGCACTCTTTGATTTCTTAAATGGGTTGATTGGAATTCCACTCTGTATGGTTGCTTATATTCTTCGTAGACAGTTTTTCTATATAGAAAACTGTGGAATTTGGTATCGTGTGCCTGCCAGAATATTTGTCACAATCTCAATGCTTCATCTCCTTGTGATCACTATTGATCGATTCCTAGCGATTAAATACCCTCTTCGGTATATTGTGTGGATGCCCGTTGAAAGAGCAATTCGAATTTGTATTTGTGTCAGTTTTGTTGGTGTATTTCTCGGGGGAATTCCATCTGCAGTCGGTGCCCTCGCAAGCCTGTTAGTGCCACCTCCTAATGTGACGTATGAATACGAATGCCGGAGCTCGGCATTTTATGATATATATGGCAATTCAGTGTACTTTTACCTCAGCGCAATTATCGGCTTGACAATTCCTATTATGTTTATTCTGTACTCATATATTTTCTCAGTTGCGTCAAAAAAGGCGAAGGAGATTGCCACACATCACGGAAAGAAAGTTAACAGGCGAGAAATGAAAGTTACCAAGACAGCAGCCATAGTACTTCTAGTTTACACTCTGTGTGTTGCACCAACCTTTCTAAAAAGCACAATTGTCCACAACGCTGTTGATAATGGTTCCACTTGGCTTGTGTGGTTCTTGTGGTTAGCAGATTTTCTCATCCTCGCTAACTCGATGATTAATCCATTAATATATGCTGGAAGAAGTAAAGAAATGAGAAAAGAATTCAAAGAAACATTCACTACATTATTTGTAAGATTTAACCGGATCAGAAGTAAACGCGGCGAAAGACGAGCAGACATAAGCTGTGTTTACGTAATATAACTGTTCAATCTTGTAAAATATAGGCATATGCATTAGGAAAAGAAATCATTCTCTATGGTTATTTATTTTTATCTGGTTTCCTGTATGACGATAATTGTAAACTTTATATCCTCACTGTAACTTTTGATCGATTTTTTGTGATTAAATACCGACTTCGATACCATATGTTTATGTTTAAGGTTGTTTTTACGGGCAAATTCATTTTTGTTGCTGTTGTTTTGCCAGCCGTTATGTGCCACCGCCCAATATGACGTATGAATACATAACGTTAGACTGTGGAATTTCTGCACATAATGTAATTTACGGTCAAACTGTTTTTGACTATATTTACTCCCTTTTTTGTAGTTTACAATTGTAATCAAGTTCTTTCTGTATGTTTCTGTGTAACTTTAGTTTATTGCGTCAATGAAACACGCCAGGGAAAGAAGCTTTGAAAACGAGAAATGAAAAGACAAAACAACAGTCATATCAGTGAAATTTATACTGTTCTTTGGTCATAGTACTTCTAGCGCACACTGTGTATTGCAGCAACTGCTCTCAAAGGCTCGGTATAGATCCACCTGGCTTTTGATTTACTAGTGTTTTTCAAATTTACTCATCTTTGCTCACTTGACGATGAAGAATCCGTTAATTTATGCAGGAAAGAGTAACGAAATTGGACAAGAATTCGAAAAAACCTTTTAATTCAGCACTTGTTTCCCCACGTCGTTTGCAAACACTAGTAACGTTTCAGTTGTATTATAGAAACATTAGATACCATCACACACATTGTATAAGGATCAAATGCCAAAGCGTTTGGCAGAAGCTGAAAAATGTGCAACCCCACATTAAAGAGAGCAATACAGATGGTTCAACGTCTCTGACATGCACACTAAACTAATGTCTAACGTCAATAATCTCATTGTATGTAACATTGGGAAAAAATTGCCTGTTACACTCTAAAATGTCTCCGTATACTTGTTCTATAATTAACATAATTCAGTCTTTGTTTAAATAAAGTCGGAGATATGTGCTGTCTCGACCACCCTACAGTCACTCTCAGATAGGGAGTGAGGTGCAAAGTGGCTCCTCGAATGTAACAGTGAGATAATATTGAATTTGTATTATATTTTGTTGCATTACATGGATATGTGGATGACTAAATCAATAAATCTTGGCGTTGCAGCCAACTTTAAGAAAATGATAATAGGCCTATTTACACGAGTTGCTGAGTATTGTTCTTATTGTACAGTATTTCAATTTTAATTCAATAATACCCTCCCTGCAGCTAGAGCGTGTCTACTATCTATTAATTTTAATTTATTTTAATGAAATAGAAAGCCGACCTGATGTTTTATCAATTCCAATTTATCTCCGTGAGCATGTTAATATATATATATACGTAGTTTGAGTTTGTGGTTAAAATAAAATTCATAAAAATGTAGTATTATCTTTGTATTGTTGTATAATGATAAGCCACTTTATGATTTCATTTACTGAAAATGATATACACGAACTATCAAAATAATAAAAACTAAGCTACTTATTAGCTTAGTATGTCATTAAAACAGCATAAAAATCGTTGTAGTTTTGGCAACACAGGCCTAGAATAAAAATATAGGCTCCCTGCTAGAGCTTGTGTGTTATAAAATGAATCTTTCGAACTGATTACTCCTTGAATTGAAGATACTGCCACCTCGTTCACGTATTGTTTTATGTTCATACATTGTACCATTTCAACTGCTTATATACCATACTTTGCTTGGAGGTCATGCGTCTGTTTTTTATTGTCATTTTCCAAAATCCAAGTTGAAAAAATCCACAATTATTTTTTTATACAACCTGCTTATTTACCATCTGAATTTGTAGCCACCCAACCAATAGTCATCATGGATCAGGGCCGTCAGAACAGCACCGACTTTGGCCTGATCAATTTTTCTCAATTCGTTTACATTAAATAGCATTACAATGTCTTTTTGAGGTTATGTTAAAGCAAAATTCCACCATACGCTTCTTTTTGTTTTTATGTACTTTTTGTACTTATGTATATTTATGCACTCTTTTGCTAATCCTAAATGTTAGTAATTATTATAGACTTTAAAAAAAAATGGTTAGAGATGTACTGTATAATAACAATTAACTACTTTTAAGATTTTGGGTTTTAGAGTCGGTATAAGGTAAGGTATAACCCTGTATCTGTGGTATAAGGGTTAAACCGGCCTTTATTCTTGCATTCTAATTGGACCCCTAAAGTGAAGGACATCCATTTTTCTAAAGTTTGCATGTGCTACTTAAAAATGCCATATTTTCACTTTTTCACCCCCGGCCTCCCGCTGACGCGGGAGGCCGGGGGGAGGCCCCACCCGTCGGGGAGAGCTGCTCCCCCCCCCCATAGGGGAAAAAAGCACAATTCGTCGGGGAGGAAAAATTATATGTATTTTCTACATATTCATAAACTCTAAAATCGATTAAATAAGCCTTTGAAACCCATAAATTGTAAAAAAATTTATTGGCCCCCCCCCCCCCACAGACCACTTTCAAGGCCTTTTAATCGAAACTGGACCACGCCCACTTTGATTTTGTCAATTTAAAGCAATCAAAAAGACAAGGACAGGCAATACCCTGTAATTTACTACTTTTTAACCGAGGACCTAGTCTTTAAATTTTTTTCTCAATTAACTTATCTAAGGCCTCCCTCTGCAATACGCTATCATTTGTATTGTTAAATATGTGTAAATTTGGAATAAACGAAAAGGCATTGTCGGCGGCAAGATAAATAAGTTGCAAACTTAATTTCTGTAGGCAGTTTTTTTTTTCTCCAACAAGGGTAAACCTACTCGTCGTCAAATAATAAAAAGTGTCCCAATGCTCTAGCTGTTTGAACAAATGTTTTCAGTTTTAGATTTTCCAGACAGGTCCTGAGATAAGCCTGCTTATATCGAAACACGAGCGCAGTCAGTAGGCCCATACTTTTAAGTAAAGAAAAATGTATGACATCATAAAAGCTAAGATTACATGAAAGAAATGAAACGTATATTACCGTATAGATAAACTTTTTCTTCATCTCCATAATTTTCCGCCAGCCACTCGTAGTGACATATTTATTTTTCAATATTTATTTTTGGTGTGGAAGAGTGGAGAAGGTGTCCTTGTTAGTTACTAATTCAACGTGAGTGACAAGTCCATGAAAGATTTTAAAGTCACACCACTGATTTTTATTATACCATTTGCACACATAAATGACTAAATTTTGTAGACTTTCGTTTACAACATCAACATAAATACATTTATCATCGGAAAACACATTACCTATGTCATTTCCCACTGGCTGTGATACATCATTGACTTAAATGAGAAAAAGTGGTTCGAGGACCGAACCTTGGGGAATTCCGATTTCATTATTCCAGGTTCAGATTTTTTGTCCAATGCAAAAAACAAATTGCATCCTGTTTTGTAGATTATTTCTAAACCAGTTCATCGAGTTTGCATCAAAGCCATATTTTTAAGTTCATATAATAATTATTATGATTTATTATATCAAAGCATTTAGCTATATCCAGAAAACACGAGCCAATTACTTCAAAGTCGTTTAGAGAATCTAGCCATTCACTAATTATCCTAAGTAATGATTCAATAGTAGAGTGTATTGAAATCAGGACAGATTAAGACTCCAGAAAATACCACTTTTCGTCAATTTAAAAAAACTTTATTAATATAGATATGATTTTTTAGATGATTGTTTATCGGTTGCTGTGGTTACATGGAGCTAATTCGTGCGTCGTCATATTTCTTCCCGTACTTTAATTCGATTTTTTTCTGTACTTTTGTGTTTCACCTCAAGCACTCGATCAACATGTAATTACCTTTAATAAATCATTGATTCATTTCATCTTTCATAGTAACTTGTACGCGGAAATTTAAATTATTCATACAGTATAAACAGCGCTGTGAAATTGTATTATTCTTCAGAGACATGGGCATATAATAGATTATATATCAAATATTTTTATCTATTTTGGTTAAGACAATTTTCATAGTACATTAACACCATACAGTTTTACTGTATTAAAGAATCATTAAACATTAAAATGTACAAAGATACAAAGTAATATAGCAATAGTACTTCTAAATACAGACATATAGATATATAGTAAGGATTGTAGTCAACTAAAAAAATCCATGAATTTATACCAGCCAATTTAAGAGTCTGCAAAAGAATAGGGGAATGGCATTTTTAACTGTAATTTTTAGATATGGTCCTATTAATAAAATATAAATCACAAAAGGTTAGTGTAATGTACAGGTTTCTGACAATTCATTACAATAGATGAGGGGGTGCAGAGGTGAAACGTATACACTTATATTATAAAGTATTATTTTTGGGGGGTATGTGGGCTTCGGTCTTAGGATTTAACGTTCCTACTCCGGGTTGCACAGTTCGATTAAATTTGACAGTGTTGTCAGAGTTGTTTAAGTTGTTGATGATGTTTTTGTTTAATTATGTTTGGGAATCACAATTTCCTATTTTTGCTTCTGCATGTGTCAATATTTAACTTGAAATGGTTTTGTGTACAGTGGATACAGCAAATTGTGTTTATATACTTTTTCTTGACGCTCTTGATCGCCTTGTTCTGTTTTTTTTTTTTGTTTTTTTGTTTTTTTTTTTGTTCTATAAATTTGTAATTCTGAAATAAAAGATGAATGAATTATTATTATTATCATTATTATTATTATTAAATTAATCGATGAGAATGATATTGATAATATTAGTAATAATAATTATAATAATGATACTTTATATCTGCAAGGGTTTGCACGGTCGTGCAGTTTTCTCAATTGTATATTGCTACAACCATCATTTTACTGTTGTCAAAAATCGTTCATATTAGTCAAATAATATTCTATATTAGCGCTATGGTTCTGGTCGTGGAACAAGTCTTTGATACAAGATTTAAAGTTAGTGGAAGATATAGTTCCACCGTACCTTGTTGAAAAATACCCTTTACTTTTAAAGGTTTAAATTTCAATTGCAAGTACTCTGGGCATAGTTGATTCGTATACTTTTGTGTTGTGATGACGATTTGGCCAAATCAAACCCCAACAATTTATAAATAGTTAATTGTAATTTTATATTTATACCTCCAAACATTTTCAAATCAATCTTTTCTTTATTACTAAAAAAAATTAAGGAAATTAAGAAAAAGTTTAAATGTACATACAAAAAAAATACACAAGCGCATGGTGAATTATTGTTTTAATATGTAACATTAAAAAAATAATGTAATGCGTACATACATTTCAAAGAGGGGTTCAGAAAGTTCCGAAAAAAAACCCAAAAAAGAAAGGGGGATCGGTTGGTCCTCCCCCGGGAAAATTTTGATTCCTAGATTGCCGGAAATGAGCTTTCCCGAATTCTGAGGTGTCTAATGACCTTTTAAGTTCTTCTAAGTTCAAGGTTTTCCCTCTCTTGAAAACGGTCAGGTAATTTTATCTCATTCTTAGGCCTATACATAAAGAGAGAGAGAGAAAAAAAGATATATTATTATATTCCAACAATATTGAGTAGTTGTATTCGTAGTCTTTCCTCCATAGATCGATAGGCCAGAAGAACGCACTTTCGTACATAAATTATTACGACATTGAACCCAAAACAGTGTTTGTTTAATTTATTTAATTGAAGGCTAGTTGGGCTAAGTCAAGTTTGTCTGATCTGCCAACTTATGCCTAGTAGGTTAGCATGCCTTTTGTAAACCAGGACTTATTAGTATTTTGTTACGTTTCTTCACAGGGGGGGGGGTTCGTCCGAACCCCTTGAACCCCCCACCCATCTCCGCCACTGACATACAGACCTAATTTATGATACCAGCATACAGGTCTCCCTCTAATTAAAGACCTTTCCATTTAAAAACCATCTATATGACGACTATTTTGTGGTCCCATATTACCAAATGTACTTTAGTTTCTAATTATATTCTAATTAGAGACCAAAGCTGCCAAAGACCATGGATGGAACCCTGGTCCCAAAAGCCTACTTTAATTGGAGGGAGACCTTATATTTATCTGAAACAGTAATGGAATTGACAAAAATTGGTCCGGTCACAGCCAGTGCAGTTCCGACGGCCTGGACCTGTATATGTATACATATTGAACACTAAAAAAAAGAGGAATGATACAATATTCGAAGAATCCACTTGCTGAAAATATTAAGTATCTTTAAAACTTAGGCACACACTGCGCCTGACGACACAAACACTGTCTGCTGATTGTAGCTGGCAGCAGGTGGTTGTCTGAGAAGATGGAGTTAAATCTTCAGTTGTTTGCTCCTGGCCTCAATTTCAGCATTTTTGTCTTCAACATATTCTTAGAGTAGGCAATTTCTACTACTTTTTGCAAGTCGTCATTAGTGGCGTGGCCTGCGGCATACATTAAGACAATGTGACGATGGGATAAGGTGTACACGAAATCTACTTGCTACAAAGAAAAGGTTTTTACTGTAGGCCTATTCTCGATTTACTTTTATAGAATATGCCTGGGTGTGGGGCATAAAAAGGGATCAGGGCTAAAAGGATGCTTGGAAGATAAAGGGCCTCTAAACTATGGTCTGATTACGTGAATTGTAAATGTAGATCTTTTTTTATATTCTCATTGCTTAACCATACTTTTGTATGTGTTAGAGGCAGTGTGAATATGGGAAAGGTCCAAAAATGACAGTTGTTTTTTTTTTCTTGTACAGTTGTCTACTGTACTCTTGAAATTGGCCTACAATACAATTTGCCAAAATTTGGTATAGTAGACCTAAGTTTGGGTCATACATGTTAATCATGCTACAGTTGAGTTAAGACGTGTCTAACGTGTGCTCCTGGATTAGCATTTCTCACAGTGTACTTACCTGTATGTAAAACGACATGGCACACACTAAGCGAGCCACGCGTGTCTCTGCTACATCGAAGACCAACCTAGACAAGAATAGTACGTACCTGAGGAAGTAGACTTGCCACAAGTCTCTATGATTTCCTAGTATTAGTAGCTAATTTTGGAGAGCGCCATTAGCGTCGGTATATATCGACAAACTTTTATGCGAATTAGAAACCCCAAGAAAAAGTATACTATGAAACGCCAAGCAAAAAGGTAATATGGAACGGCATTGGTGCCAAAATCGATTTTCCCAGATTTTTACTAATTAATACAAAGTTTAGGGACTGGAACACAGTCTGCTCATGCACCGCCTCATGTCGGTGCATGCATAAAACGTAATTTCCTAAAATTTGGATATCTGAGATTGACAGACAAAATTCTCTATAGGCCTATATTAATTTACTTCCTTGATTTAAGGAAACGTATATTGAGATACGCAAAGTTTAGTAGGTTAGAAGTTTAAAGGAGAGGACTTCCTTATGTTGTGATCATATTAGAATGTAATAATATCATTAAAAACCATTCAACATAAAACATATCAAAATTATTAAGTTAAACCTTCTACTTCGGTGCATGAATATAACGCAATTTTGGGATATATGAGATTTAATTAACATTTGATAATGTACTGAATATAAAATATTAAATATTTTACATTTTAATCAGCAATCTATCAGAAATACGGGGATTGGTTATACTGTAATGCCTTCAGAACCCCTGCAATACTAAAACTGGGATCCAACAGGCAGTGAATATTCCATTTTGATTTAGTGTAGATGTTTTTTTATATATTTTTTAATTTTATTTGAATTCGTTTTATTTTGTATGATTCATATGATATTTTCCAGAGAGAGATAAATGAATGAATGCCTGAAATGATACTTTATGGGTTTCAGATTACTGTACAAAACAGATATCATAAATCATCTATTGTCCGACTGTGTGCATTAAACATTTGACGACGACGATAATGTCTCCGAATTCCCAACCGTAACTTAGGCTACGGACCTCGCTTGACACTTCACAGGGTAAACTCTGGATCCGCGTTTGACATGTACCGTATTTAATAATAATAATAATAATAATAATAATAATAATAATAATAATAATAATAATAATTAATAATAATAAATTTTAATGCTTAAAAAAGGTATATTTACAGTATATTTATTTATAAAAAATAAATTTCAAAAAAGGGCTTGAAAAATCTGCTCTGCTGCTACTTATAAATCTTATACTAAACCATTGTTCCATGAATATAATGTCTGGAATATTTAAAATTGAAATAATTTACAAATTGGTATGTTTATGTTTCGTTTACACAAAGGTACGCTACCTCTTCATATCGCCTCTTTATTTTCTAAACTATCCTCTCACCATTGTCACAACACTAGATTTTCTTTAAAATAATTAACTTTACCTACTACATCCAAACTTAGACGTCACTCTATTTTCTATTCTGGTCCAAAATTATGGACTACACTTCCCTTACCTCTTACAAATCCGCCATTAGTTGCAAGCTTCAAATTTAATTTTAAACGCACTCTGGTCTCGGATTACGGTGCACAGTAGGTGGGGTGTACAGCCTCCTCCATAATTGACTCTGTGATATTTTACTTACTTATTTACTGAATCCTTTTTTTGTCAACATCAATATTGTAAAATGTAATTCTTTTCTTTTCCTTTAAATATTGGCACATTGTGTTTTGATATAACGCTTGAGTTATTCGTGCGCCCGGATTAACTGTAACTTTTTAAATTCTATTTATTTATTTTATTATTATTATTATTATTGTTTTTTATTTTTTAACTTATTTTATTATTATTTTTTGCATTGCATTACTGTATTTAGTTTTATCATTACAATTGATTGTCTCAACTCTTAGGTAATTTACTTCTTTTAAAGGGGGGCCTAGGCTTTAAAGTTTCTTTGATAAACTTATCTAGGCCTCCCTCTGCATATTTTTTACGCTATCATCTATAGGCCTATGTTAAATATGTGGAAAACTTGAATAAAACGAAACAAAACGAAGGAGAGAGGGGATGAGTGGAAGATAAAGCAACCCTACACGTATTGTAATCTTAAAGAAATTTATTTTCTATATACGGTCAGTGTTTAACCATACCATGGTATTGTCGCATACATATATATTTTTTACCGTTTCAATTTTATAGGTGGTATCAAAATTCATCGCAGTAGTTAAATGCCTAAATGGCATGTAATATTAAAAAATAAATATGGTGATTTTTGTTGCAGCACATAATGTCTAATCTATGTGGGGGAACTGAGAAAAATTGCTCATGCCAGAAAAAATTACAGTAGCCTATATCATCACCTTCATTTAATGACATTGAAGAAAGCATGATATAAGAACCACTGCGCATGTCTAATTTCAGTCCATGTTTTGTCTCTCCAATCATTGCAAGACTGTTCATTGGTTCGTTTATATTGGTTATGAGCATGCATCTACATACAATAACATTAGCCTAATTGAAATTCTCATAATTCATTTGTATCTGTTACGCCTGAAGTGCCAAGTCTTGGGAGCAGAAAACCCGAGAAATATCCTAATGCTAACAAAAGCAAACAACCACAGAGACAAAGAGAAGACAGCAGAAGGAACCAGTGTCACTGCTCTGTTCTCCAGACAAAAAGGTAGTGGTGGACAGTTTTTCATGGCGGTAACAATTGATTTGTTGATACAACAAAACGTTTCTGTAGTGTTATTTATTTTTGTGATTTGTACATTTTTACCTGTCATGCTGGTGACAATAGTTGGAAACTTGATTGTTATACTCAGTGTGTACCGGAAAAGTGCTTCAACAAAAACTTCGAGCAGTATCTTCATATCTTCCTTAGCACTCTTTGATTTCTTAACTGGGTTGATTGGAGTTCCACTCTGTATGGTTGCTTATATTCTTCGTAGACAGTTCCTATATAATTATAGCTGCGGGACTTGGTATTTTATGCCCGCCACAATATCTGTCACTATCTCAGGGCTGCATCTAATGGTGATCACTATTGATCGAGTGCTTGCGATTAAATACCCTCTTCGGTATAGAGCGTGGATGCCCGTTGAAAGAGCAATTCGAATTTGCATTTGTGTCAGTTTGCTTGGCTTTTTTCTTGGAGGAAGTTCATTTGCAGTAGGTGCCCTAGCAAGCCTGTTTGTGCCACCGCCTAATGTGACGTATGAATACGAATGCGGGAGTTCAGCGTTTTATGATATGTATGGCTACCCTGTGTACATTTACCTCATCCCGATTGCCGGTTTGACAATTCCTATCATGTTCATTCTGTACGCATATATTTTCTCAATTGCGTCAAAAAAAGCGAAAGACATTGCCACACGCCACGGAAAGAAATTTAACAGACGAGAAATTAAAGTTACCAAGACAACAGCCATAGTACTTCTGGTTTACACCCTGTGTGTTGCACCAACTGTTCTAAAAAGCATTGTCCATAAAGCTGTTGATAATGGTTCCACCTGGCTTGTGTGGTACTTGTGGTTAACAGATTTTCTCATCCTCGCTAACTCGATGGTGAATCCGTTAATATATGCAGGAAGAAGTAAAGATATGAAAAAAGAATTCAAAGAAACATTTACTTCATTATTTGTAAGAATTACCCGTATCAGAAGAAACAACAAAAGAGGCATTTGTGTTGACGGTTCGGGTTCAGTAAAAGCTAAATCAGATGCAAAGGCATCCATTATATCAACAGACTTAAGAGCTCGTTTCCCCTCGTCGTTTGAAAACACTGGAGATGTTTCAGTTCATGTATTATAGGAATACAGTATTAAATACCATCACACAAATACACACACCCACACACTCCACCATTAAGGATAAATGCTATTAGAGCGCATTGGCCGAATCTCAACGGGTTCTCATTTCTTGCAACTCCTCATTAAAGAGAACTATATAAATGGTTCGATCAGCACATTGGCCGAGATTTTACATTAACAAGCCTAATCTCTTTTCTCAGCCAACTGAACTTATTTCTGCAAATTCTAGGCCTAGATAAATTTTCATTGCCATAAAATTATTGATAATACAATAGTATTACAATAATCGCACATTAATATTTAGGATAGCATCTTCTCACATTTAATTTCAATTATACTTTTCAATTTGTAATACACTTAAATTTTTTATTTTACTTAATTTTAAGAATTAGTGTAATGTTTCATATGCTTATGTACAAAAATAGTATCATGTTATGCTACGACAATAAATTTTATTTAGATTAAATAATTTTGTTATAATCATCCTTATCATCATCATTATCTATTATAGTCCGGCAGCTTAGCAGATGGATGAGGACGTTCCGGACAAAAGCACCAATTTTTTTTTACATGCTTCTTATGGTCATAGCATTCAATTTTTGGTAAGAACCACCTTAATCTTGGATTTCAAAATGGCCGCCTAATAAAACCTATGTTTATCTATATCTTCGCTTCTAAACCACTTGGAATTATAATTCTAATGTCTGAAACTATTTTTATATGGTCAAGGAAAAACCATCATACCATTTTTGACCTGGTCAGATTGCCACAAATAGGTCATTTAAGGTCATTTAAGGTCAAATATTGTATGGTATCTTAAAAATTACATAATTGTCATATTTTACATTAAAACCATACCCTGACTCTCAGAATATTCAAAATCTTTACTATGAACTACAATATTTAATTCGAGGTCATTTTGGCGGCCATCTTGAATTTCAAAATTGCTGCCACGCAAATCTTATATTTATCAATATATCGGTTTTTAAACCACTTTAATGAGAATTATGATATCTAAAATTATATTTATGGTCAAGGATTTGTAACACTTGTGACATGTCAGATGGTCATTAAGATCATAAAAGGTCATTTAAGGTCATTCAATTTATATACCATACCATTACCATCTTTTATCTGTTCAGATTGCCACAAATAGGTCATTCAAGGTCAAATATTGTATGGTATTTTAAAAATTACGTAACTCATGTATTACATTAGAACATTAGAATCATATTCATACTCTCAGAATTCAAATGTTTTACTATGAAATATATATATATATAAAAAATCTGTCGTCTCAACCACTCATGGAAGATTGTAATCTTCCTTCTTAGTATTTTCATAACACATGGAACCACGACATATTTGAGAAATATTTGGATATAGGCCCTGTCTCTTATACACATCTTTTCCTATGGTCGGTACACGAGCGAAACGAGCATTTAAGCTGGGGCCGGGGACCACCAAGGGCCCCCGGTGGACTACGCGTATTTGGCGATACTTTTGACGATTTTTTCATTATTTGATAGGCATCAAGCTATTGTAATATGGTTTGATAATCGTTGTAAATCACACCATCCATGATGAAACGTTATGCTATACGTAAAAGATTAGACCTACTTTATAAAATGACATATTTCATAAATATTTTTTTTTATTCTCCGATGAAACCTCCTTTTTCGCGACGAGGGTGCTGGGTTTTGTCACCTCAAAAAAAAAAATCAATATCTGTAGCAAATTTAAAAATACTTGATATTAGTCTTCATCGTTATTATCATCGTCGCCAGGCATATCATTATTATATATTTAACAGTATTTGTAATAGTGATAATAATAATTTTTAACAATATTAATAAGTCGTCGTCTTCATCGTCACAATTACCATTGTTATTGTTCGTCGTATATGATTTCATGATAATACACAGAATATCACGGACGACGACGGTATAGGCCCATGCTATAGACGTAGGCCTATTCAAATACTACTAATTTTGCCCGTAACATCAAAACTTTCAATATCGAGTAATCGAGTGCATCTGCAATTTCGCAAAACAACTTTTTTAACATAGAAGGCGGCTCTTTACTCTTTTTCAGCACTGCATGGCGTAGCAAATGGTTAATAATCATTAATTCAAAGAATGTGTAAAGTAGAATAGAACATTTTTCACATTTCCTATACATTAGATATGTGTGGTGGTGTAGGTTTTTATGTTCTTTCAGTCATTATTTGATTTAATTTCTATGTTATTATAAATAAAAAACCTTATTTTATGTTTAAATTGGTCATAATATATGTTGCCCTTTTTGTAATGCTACAATAATAGGCCTATAGAAAGAAATAATATTATCCGTCATTATTCAGCCTTTTATACTGATTCGATTAATTGAATAATTTTTCTATTGTCTGTATTTGATACGATCCATGTATGGTATTATTCGATTGGTAAATGGAGTAATTATTAATATAGCTTTGTGACAATTATATTGATACCACCCATGTGTGGTATTATTCTATTGTTAAACGAGATAATTATTAATGCAACTCCTTTCAGTATATCTTAACCACGTATTCAGAAGTGTAGTATGATTCGTTTTGGTAAACCTAACTATTTGAGAAGTATCTTTCTTTATAAGATGTTAAGATAGCCTGTGGTATGATGCCTTATTCGTTTCAGTAACGTGAAATGAATTGTTTTGCATAGTCGATTTATAGTATGGGATTTAAGTAACCAGAGTATATTAAGAATATTTTTGATAGGTATATTTGATGTGGCATGTTGTTCGGCTTGATTAACCAATGATTGGAACCATTACATTCATTACAATACGTACTTGTGTTTATCGTCATTCATCTCTGAACGTATTCTCCATTTTAAAACTAGTGGTTTACAGGTTACAATTATAATGTTATTATAATTACGATTGTTTGTTTGCTTACATCACAATATTTTTGCAGATTTATGGTTGTACAACTATCATTAATGCGAATTATGATATATAACACTCAACATTATGCTTGATGAGACGTCATTGTGTTATGACGTCAGTTTGTGTTAAAAATCTGTCGTCTCAACCACTCATGGAAGATTGTAATCTTCCTTCTTAGTATTTTCATAACACATGGAACCACGACATATTTGAGAAATATTTGGATATAGGCCTACTTGATAGTGCCTAATTATTCAGAATTTCCAAAACTAGAGATATATTTGTGATAAGCTTAAATTTTACGAAGCAAATACCATAATCACATAAACTTAAAAAGTTATAAAATACTTTGCATCACATTTTTAACCTGTCAAGCTTGAAATGAAATTGTGCAAACAAAGGTTATTCAAACGGTAAAGCAGCATCAGCTTGCAAAGGGGAGTATATAAGCAACCGAGGGAATAATAAGCTTTTCTCCTTGGTAGGATGATTAAATACTTGTTTTTAAGCCAATATCCTATTATTTATATTTAAAGGCTTAAATGTTCTACATAGCAATGAAAAAAAAATGACACATGGGAAGGTGTTGCGTGACTTTACGTGCATTTATTAATAATGTAGATTATGAGTAAACAGAAGAACGACATGAGCAATGAACATACTTGTTATTAATAGGTAACGTAATTTAATATATGATAAAGATGTTTAATATATTCAGGCAATGTGTTTGAACAACTCTAGGTATCTTGTTATTCAAACAACAGGAACATTGTTAATCAGTGGTATTTGACGCCAGTGTTTATTCAAAATCTATGTGCGATAAAATGTAAAAAATAAAAGTTGTTTGGCTAATAATTAAATGAACCAAACTTTTACAAAGTTTGTGTCGACAGCATTCAAATTCACTCGCATTTAAACTCGCAGAGATAGGCAAGGCCTTCTGAAGTATAGCAGTTGCGGTCGTCCCATTTTAGGTCATCAAACCACACAGCAGCGCAATTTTGATTCCCTCCCTGGTTATTTGGCTCGTCCTTTGCCCAGTTTAGCTCGCCAGCAACCACCTTTCTGGCGTCGTCCCAATGCCACCCTTCGTTATTCTTGTACAGCCCAATCCAATATCTGGCACCATATGTATCAGTGATCCTTCCACCAGTTGCATCTTTCCAAAGTGAATTGGCAAACTCGCGTTCTCCATCATTAGTGAGTGTAGCCAAACTAAGACGAGCATACTTGTCATCGCACGAAAAATCAAATGAATGACAATGAGCACGAGCGTCATTCCAGTTGTCGTGATCCATGAAGTATATGTAGCAGGCGTTATCGTATTCACTCCAGCCATCCGGACAATCTGCGTCAGTGAGAGTCATTAGTACTCCAACAACGAAGAGAGACCACAGCATCATGGTTACTACTGAAACAAACAGAATAAATATTACCCATGATTCATTGCTTGAATCACAGCGCGTTAATATATTCAATGGAATGAGGCTTTTAATTCAAAAAGAGCATATGTGCCATTTTTATTCCTTCATCCCAGACTGAAGCTACACAAATTCAAGTTATCAACTGCAAAAAAGTTAAATGAATTTATAAATAATTACAGACGAGCTCAGTAATATCAAAAGATAATGTGTTCTTGTCAACAGTGAACTTTTTTGCCAGAAAGTCCTTATAACAGTTCCTATTTTACACACAAAACATATATATGCAACTTTCTAAATGTTTCAAGTCGTAATTTATATATTATATTTAATCGTACCGAATAACCCGCGTTATAACTGTTATATATTTTGTTCCTATGACACCATTTTAGTTCAATATAAGCTTGATATTCAAATTTTATTCAACAGACTTATTTGATCTGTTTTTACTATAAACACGTCTTACAAGTATAATACCTACAGTATTTGTTTTGCAATACGTTTTATACAGAATTCAAAATTATAATGTCTTCCTAATTCACATTGAATAATGTTTCAGTTTGTAGAATAATCTATTAATTTATGTTAGTGTAAGTATTTTGTTTTTCAATATTGAAGAGTAATTTTTATAATTTATGACAAAATATTGTATATTTAAAGAACACTGGCTTTCTTTAGTAGAATCATAACTCTACTCTAAATATTATGATGAACATTTTTTCTGATATTTTACGAGGCCTTTCTATTTATTATTTCTCGTTTTCATTCCATATTCTATTATATTTTACAAGTAAGATTTAGTTTAATATTTTTATAACTATACAAGACTTTACATATAAAATATAGTCTACACTTACACATAATGTCATTTTTATACACCATTTAAACCAGTTTTCTAATATTAGTAATATTTAAAAGATTTTTTATATAAATTTATAAATATTACTTTTTTCTCTCCTTTTTGTTTGTTGTTTTGCGCAATAAAGTGCTTAGGCCTATTTATAATTTCCAATACCATAAAGCTAACGATAAGTCAATAATAAAAAAGCTGCTCGCCTCATGTGCAAGTATGGAATTGTCCTCTGTTAAAACTTACAAACATATGTAAATTGATAATTATTTTGAAAAAATTGACGAACCATACCAATCAGTGTATATAACATTTATTAAAGACGGCTGGTGTGCACGTATTACTTACCTTATAAATCGGCACGTTCCAACAAGTTGACTAGTTGCGTCACTAATGAATTTCACTGTTTCCTTTTTCCAAACTCCACTGCAATAGCATTTTTGGGGAAAAGGTTCGAAGTTATATACGTTTCATTAGAAGGGCGGGGATATTACCAAAACGAACAATTAGCCTATCATATTGCCAGGAACCACCTGTATGTGAATTTTTACAAAAGAATATAATTTTTGGGTTGGGCCTTGATAAATGTCAAAAGGTTTTGCTGATATAAGCAATTTGGCTTATGCACCATATTGCCGCGGATGCTTACTATCTCAGAGTTGTTAACATAGAGCTGAAAGTTTTAATAACGGTAATTAACATTGTGATAAGCATTTTCTCTTTTTTTCAGTATCCTGAGTTCATAAAGAACGATTCGTGACAAAATAGTTTACGTTGGATACCTGAACGAAATGTTCATTTTACCCTCGCTCGCTGGGGAAGTGTGTGTGTGTCTGTCATGAGTATATTTCCCGCACGATTAAAATCGTAACGGTACTGTGTTTGGTCTACAGGAGCTCGTGCTTCGTATAGGTCATTCCATTCATAGAAAAAAAAAACATTTTTATCGGAGAAAGCGTACCTGTCGTTCGCCGTACTATACATAACTCCGGCTATATAAAGTTGATTTTGAGATTTAAAAATGTTAATCTTATTATTGTAGTAGTGACACTATGTCCACGTTTTAATTATTGTTATTTATTCGTTAATATTATTATTCGAACAAATGGTCAATGAGTAAAAAATTTAAAAATAAATTTAAAACAATGAATAGATAAAACAAAATAAAAAGATATATATTAATAGTGGGGAAAATGTGGTAATAATTGCCTTTCAATTATTTAATGTTGTCAACGCTTGACATAAAATGCAGCATTTTATGTCAAGCGTTGACAAAGACTACAGGAGTAGCCGAAATATTCGCCTAATAAATTTTAGTGTTTCTAAAGTCAACATCTTACGTATTTGAGTTTCTTTACTGTTACGTTATATTATATTTACATATGTTTCGAAACACACGTGGACACGCCTTCTTCATATATATATATATATATATATATATATATATTCACTCGCCACTGAGGAAGGACTAGTGTTGTCCGAAAGCTCTGGTTCTATTTCTGGCTGTTTTCTTACGTTTACTTTTTAGCTGTTGCTTATCATTTTTGTATCTCTACTGAGATCCAGCCATTGTTTCCCACAGCATTGTTGCTGTCTCTTATACACTCCACAGTATTTGGTCCGTGAAGGTTAAATTTTCATTTTCAATTATTAATATATTATTTTGGCTGATTTTCAAAGAAGATATATAAAAGTTAGATGAAAAAAACTTTTTTTTATGGATGTTGTTTGGGTTATTTTATTAAAAATGTATATTTTGCGTCAAGGACGGGACATTAAAAAATGCTAAACATTTCTTAAACTGTAAATCTGATAACAAAATTTTGGTGCAGACACAGTTACATTGTATTTCCTCTATTACAAAATCATGTGTTTAGTTGAAATTTGTTATTATTAATTTCATACTTACACATTAAAAATTAATGATTGTCCCGGTGTGACATTTGAGGAGGTTTTTTACATTCATTAGGAAAGTAATGCTATGAAAAATTTAATATTCGATATTCTCCTACTAGAGACTATAACTTAATATTTTATCAACCAATTTTTAGATAATTTTTTGTTTAACCTGCCTAAAATATAATATTTTGAAAACAAATTGTCACAGACGGGACAGTTTTTGTCACAGACAGGACAATTTTGACACGGACACTTAAAAAATTAACGCAATACAAGTTTTTTTTTTGCTACTAAATTATAGTACAAATGTAGCAAAGCAAGTAAAATGTTGAAATGATATTAGAGAATAATTTTTATCCCTTTTTATATTAAAAAGTATAGTATGTTATGCGAGAATTTGCATAATAATGAACCGTAACCAGGAAACGTGTTTCAAAACATTGCTTTCGCGAAACGTAGGCTTGTTCACAGCGTACGTAATTGAATGCTGATTGGTCATTTTGTTACCCGGAAGTCAATGCAAGACCCCTCGCAACGATTAAAGCCAGGCTTAGAAAAGTTAAACACGGTGGCGCGCCAGGCATAGTTACTATAGAAACACAGCCCGGCTTGAGATAAGCCACCTAGTTCAGACTGGCAGGTGGATAAACCCGGTGAGTTGAGCCGGGTTTATCCACCTAATCTGATCTAGGCCTTAACAGTGTACCAGCTGGTTAAAGGCGGGCACTCTATGAAGAACGCAACGCGACTACGCGCGCGCAGTGGGTCGTTTTTAATGACGATTCGTTCAGACTGCCACCGACAATCAGCAGACGACGTCGCGTCGTCTAGTGCTCACAGGGAGCGGAGTTGGATTCGTCGTGCGACGGTCGTACGGACCGTCGCACGACGCAGTGAGTGCCCGACTTCTACATAGCAGAAGATTCTGAGTACGGAATACAGATGTGTACCATAAAGCATGCTTTATGGGAAAAAAAACTCGATGCCGTGTTATTCCAAATTAATTATGATTTTTATAGGTAGACCTATGATACACATACTGTCTAAGTTGAGCTAATAATAATATATGTAATGTTTATTGAACAATAAACATTATTACGTATGTTATATACGGCTGATAGCTATTAAATTTAAAGGTTAAAGTAGACAAACAAACTGAACTCCCATTTTTATTGTGCTATTGCGTACATCATCAAAAATCAGGTGTCTATTTTCACAGATTGTTTTTTATTTATTCAACATTATTTTATACATAACACAGGGTGTTTTTTCACACTCAGTTATTAATATGAAACTAAACTCTAAACAAGTGATGTCGCCAGTGGGGAAGGTTCCCCCTGTCGGATTGGCCTGGACCCCCGTCGACCGACGCAAAGACGAGATTGTTGGACCACACATTTAAAAGATTAATAATTTGCCTATATGTATACACCAGAGCCTTGTCGTATTTTATTGACTTTGGGTCTATCTAATTAGCATACCACCCCATAAACTATGCTTTAGACAATTTAAAATATGTTTAAAGACGATTTTAAAGATTTGTATAGATAAGATATATCAAATATAAAAATACGATTGTGAGAGACTGTAATACAAAATATGCGCTTTCTAGAGAAACCATGGAGTCCACTGATAGGTTGACATACGATAGTATTTCATTTCATTTCAAATAACTCTATTTCAAATGTTTATATTTAATATTGGAATTTGTATATATAGAATTTTAATTTTTTTCATAATATTTTATATTATTGTCGTTGTCGTGAGAGATCCCCTCGACAGTATCATTCTTCTACTTTTGGGCAATCCTGCCATATGACAACTATATTTTTATATGTGTTTATAGCGCAATAAATAAAATGAAATGAAACATTTTTTATTTTTTTAAAGTAGAATTATCTACTTTAACAGTTGATTCATAATAATTGCAAAAAGAAAGAAAAAAAAAACATTTGAAGAGGGCAAAACCGCAAAAGCAAACAAAGCCTGAAGGAGTCTTGCCTTATGAAAAAAAAAATACATGAAACGGATAACAAAAAAAAAATCAACAACAGTTCACAAGGAGACAGAAAAGAAAATTATATCGGAAAAAATAAAGGTAATAAGTACAGAAACCGATCGTCATCTAAGAAATAATCATTTAATTAATTAAATCTTTAGACAGCAAAACATTATTGTCTCAGGTTAAATAACGAGATAGAATATGTTTCAGTTTAATGAAACAAACTCCAAAAAAGGTGATACAAGCCATTTTTTATTTAAACTTTATTTATTTTGTTCATCATTTTTTGTTCATACTATCCTATGTAAATATAAAGGGTTGAATGTAATGAATTAATAACTAATGTGATGCAGTTTGGACCAATGAGAAGGCAGATTGAATGAGGCAATTAAAGAGTTAAAGGCCAACTCAGACAGCGTCGGCCGACGCAGCCCGACGCGATTTGTTGTCGCGTCGGGTCTGTGTGAGTTGAACGCAGACGCGATGGTGTGCGTCGGGGGCAGTCGCGTAGTAGAATATTAAACATGTTTAATATTTCTCACGACGGCTTAAGACTGTCCCCGACGATAAACCGCGTCGGGCTGCGTCGGCCGACGCTGTCTGAGTTGGCTTTAAGGTGATATAAAAATGTGTCTGAGCTGCTTGTTTAAGGTAGGTTGTTCCCAACTAATGTAGAGGGCCTCCGGTACCATTGAAACATGTCATGGATTAAACTTTTTATATTTGTAAAATACATTGCTACATTTGTACTATCTTAATATGTAAAATATGCATTATTAATGGTATAAAAAAATTTAAATGAAACAAACAAAAAAATATAGTGGTTGACAAAAAACAAAAATTGTAATTGAACAAAATACATGGAATAAAAAATACATGTTTTAGTTTCATTCAGTTTAAATGAATTATGAGTTTTTGATAGATAGGGACAAGTCAATTCGAAGAGATGAGGCAGAATAGGCAAAGGTTCGTTGACCATATTATGTTTATATTTTAGATTTTGGGATAGTGGGAAGGCTTCATTTGTAGCGAAGACGACGGTTTTGGATAGAGATTAAAAATTTGTAAGAGTTAAGATGGTAATGAAATCAAAAGTATTGAAAAATAAAATGTTATGTTCGTTGTAATTGTTAATTTGAATAGGCAGGGGAGGCGCTCTTATACACATCTAGATGTGTATAAGAGACAGGGGGGGAGATGGGAAGGGCCCAATCGGGAAGAAAAAATTGTCATAGATTCTCATACACTTCTGGCGGCTACGCTTAACCACACCCACTTACGTTTTAGTCTGGAAGAAATCCAACACCCCGACGAGGACATCTGCTCCCCCGTTTGGCAAATCATGGCACCACCCCTGTGAATAGGTATTGCAAATCCAATTGACATTGGAAATTTGAAAACCAATAAAACGATGTGGTTGGAAAATGGCTACCAGGCCAATAGAAGACGTAGGTAAAAGTCATTATTAATAAATTATGAAAAAAAAATAATATCCTATAAATGAAAATTCTACATGCATTTGCCTCAAATTTATTGCTAATCAGAATTAGAATACGAATTTTTGAAGTTTTTAGCTTTTCATGATACTGCGAAAAAAAAGCTACAATGAACATAAATGCCATTATTTTTTCCAGTACATAAACAGGGCGCGACAGGGCGAGTGATTGTAATCTCAGATACCAGAATATCTCGATCGAAATTCCGTTTTGTCGATAAAATACTAAAAATGATGGCGTATCATATGGTCTCAGTTTTGCAGTGCTGTTCGACTACGATTGTGCAATAAGAGTGTAATACACAATTCACTGCTTCTAATTAAATTCGAACTCTCAACGAGGCCCAGTGGACCAGCTGGTTAAGACGTGTTCATCAGAAGATTCCTGGTTCGAATCTCAGACCATATTTTCGACTTGCAGATTTCTATTCCTTAGCGTTCAAAATTTATATATATTATTATAAAATTACCGCGCTACATTGTAAATGCTCACAAAAAAATTCGTATCATATTAAATTCTGTTATTTGCTATGCATCAGCTAGTGCTGTCCAACTACGCATGCACAAGAATGCGAAGAATAATTCCTAACAAAGCCTCCATGGACCGTAGGTTAAGGCGTTTGCATATACAGCATAAGGTAAGGTTCGAATCCAGGCTGGGAATTTTTTTTTGCGCACACGCATGTTCCTCTTATCTTAACGTTCACAATTTATATACAGATAAATTATAAACGGTATAGAAGAGAAAGGATCATGAACTTTACTTCGCGTTCTTGGCTGAATTCATGATGCGTTTTTATCTATGCATCTATGTATAAAACATGTTGTATCACATTGGGAAAACTCGAAGCCGTGTTATTTAAAATTGAAAATAAAAACGGCTAAAGGCGACAATTTGTATAGCTTATGATCCACATACTGTCTGGCTAATTAATATGAACAATAAAATATGTCAAAATTTAAATGTTAAAATAGACAGTCAAAGTGAAATCGCAGTTTTATTGTGCTTAAAATTCACATTTTTATAGCTTATATGATCCACATACTGAGGTTGAGGTAATTAACTTGAATTAATTAGTTCAAGTTAATTACCTCAACCCACACAGTATGTGTGGGTTGAGGTAATTAACCTGAATTAATTAACAATATTAAGATTTATTATTACGGGTGAAACCTATCAAAGGCTAAGGTACAAAATGAACCTGTACTGGCGCAGTTTAATTGCGCGGAATTTCGTTGATTTCCATGTTTTCGTTTAATGCCAGTAGGCCTACATTCAACGTAATGTTTCACATAAATATCAGGGGTTAGGTACATAAACAAACACAGTGAAAACAAAAAGTTCGATGAAGAAAAAAACCTGAATCACTTGTTTGTAAAAAATATATATATGGAAAGCGATATTTAAACCATTTTAAACATTAAAAATGTTGTAAGGATAAAATCCATCAGACAGACATATAAATAATCCGATTGTGACACTGTAAAAGTATGCATTTCGAAGACATTCATTAATTGTTTATTCAAGTTTTGTTTTCATTTTGATTGTGTTAATTTATATTTATCTTCTTTATTTCTTTTCTTTATGTTCATAATGCATAATATACGATCGTAACGTCAGCATACGATTCTTCTTCTATTCTTGTCGAGCCACTAGGGCCCATGTGCTGGACTGACCCTCAGTTTTTGTAGCGTGAGGCAGGTGAGGGTGTGATGTCCCTGGGTGGGACGCCAGTAATGAATTCGGGTGTTACGTATTTTCATAGTTATAATTCTTTATAGGACTACTAAATGTACTGTTATTTCTGATAAACATTTTTTTTGCAAACTGTTTATTTCAGACCACTCAACATTTTTTCGATAAACGGTGCAATTAGTGCAGAGCTACACTACACAATGGACACTACTGTTGAGATGTGTATAAGAGACAGGGTCTCAGTTTTGCAGTGCTGTTCGACTACGATTGTGCAATAAGAGTGTAATACACAATTCACTGCTTCTAATTAAATTCGAACTCTCAACGAGGCCCAGTAATGAAGGAAGGAAGGAACGAACGAACGAGCAAATAAGGAAGGAAGGAAATAAACAAACAAAAGTAAATAAATAAATAAAAATATAAATAAATAAATAATAATAATGATGATTATTAAATGATATTTATTAATTATTCAATATTGACAAGGTATAGGTATTGAATTACAGCCGATTAAACAATAAACATTAAGTTGTAATTAATAAGACAAAATGCTTATTCCCATAACAGTACCAATGTTAATATCATAAAAAATTTTCGGGCTCAAAATGTTATTATTTTTTTCTTATTTACACACTTTTGAAATAGAAAATTATTATTGTAAATGCATAGGGTATTACATAGTCACACCCACATAAGATACAGATCAGATTTCTTGGTTTTTCTGTTTTTTTGTTTGTTAAATAAATACCCAATTTGACATTTTAACACAGCCTCAGCCACAGCTCATTCAATGGCAATGTTGACAGCATTAGTAGGTTGGGGGCGCTAACCAAATGGTCTATTAAACAAACACAGATTCGAGTGTTCTGTGTCCAAAAAGAAACTCAATACAATTTCAATTTGTCTCAAAGCTATGTTTATGCTTTACTTAGTGCTGATTTTAATGGAATATTAAGGCCCTCACCATATTATCAATTGAAGAATTGAAGAAACTATTTCGTAAAGAGGAGTAGGTATGGTTCAAAAGGATCAAACTTAAAAGTAGAAGAATGATACTGTCGAGGGTTCTACTCACGACAACGACAATAATATAAAATATTACGAAAAAAATTAAAATTCTATATATACAAATTCAAATATTAAATACAAACATTGAAATAGAGTTGTTTGAAATAAAATGAAATACTATTTTCTGTCAAACCTATCAGTGGTTCCCATGGTTTCTCTAGAAAAGCGCATATTTTGCATTACAGTCTCTCACAATCGTATTTTTTATATTTGATATATCTTTTCCACACAAATCTTTAAAATCGCTTTTAAACATTTTAAAATGTCTAAAGCATAGTATATTGGGCGGTATGTTAATTAGACCCAATTAACGTAAGTCAATAAGGTAGGACAAGGCTCCGGTGTATACATAGGAAAACTATTAATCTTTTAAATGTTTGGTCCAACAATCTCGTCGTTGCGTCGGACGACAGGGGTCCCAGGCCTGTTCGACAGAGTGGGGACCTTCTCGGCTGGCGACATCACTTGTACTGTATAACTAAGGTTTAGGATTTAGCAGCATATTAATATCTGAGTGTGAAAAAAAACACCATGTGTTGTGTATAAAATAATGTTCAATAAATATAAAACAATCTGTGAAAATAGACACCTGATTTTTTTTCATTAAAAGCGAATAATTATGTACGCAATACCACAATAATACAGGGAGTACAGTTTGATTGTCTACTTTAACCTTTAAATTTAATAACTATCACCCGTATATAATTATTACATGTAATAAATGTTTATTGTTCAATAAATTAGCTCAACTCGGACAGTATGTGTGTCACACCTATAAAAATCATAATTAATTTGGAATAACACGGCATCGAGTTTTCTCCATAAAGCACGCTTTATGTTACACATCTGTATTATTCCCTACTCGGAATCTTCTACCTATGTAGAAGTCTTCAGTCTCACTGCGTTGTACGACGGTCCGTCGCGACGGTCCGTACGACCGTCGCACGACGAATCCAACTCTGCTCCCTGTGAGCGCAAGACGACGCGACGCCGTCTGCTGATTTTCGGTGGCAGTGTAAACGGATCGTTATTAAAAACGACCCGTTGCGCGCGTGTATTCGGGTTGCGTTCTTCATAGAGTGAGTGGCCGGCTTTAACCAACTTGTACACTATTAGGAGTTTCAATCATAACTAGCAAGTGAATTGTTCACACTCATTTTAAACACTCATTCAACTTAAACATAAAATAAGGTCTTTTATTTATAATAACATAGAAATTAAATCAAATAATGACTGAAAGAACATAAAAACCAACACCACCACACATACTTAATGTATAGAAAAGGTGGAAAAATGTTCTATTCCACTTTACACATTCTTTGAATTAATGATTATTAACCATTTGCTACGCCATGCATACATAGAAAAGAGCCGCCTTCTATGTTAAAAATTTAGCGAAATTGCAGATGCACTTGATTACTCTATTGAAAGTTTTGATGTTACTGGCAAAATTAGTACTGTAATTAATTATTTGAGTCCGAGTCAAAATGAACAAACCCAGCTACCGTACAGAATGACCACACTGACTGGATATGGAATGGAACAACAATGTAAGAGCGTGCGGCGCAGCGTGTAGGGTGTTGGACTTCTGGTCGTGAGTATGAGACCGACGCTCGCTGCACTGCTTGTGTCTTCGGGCAAGACACATCACTTATACTTGCCTCTCTTCACCTAAAGGTATAATATGGAAGGGTCAATTTGTCAACCTGCTCGTTGGTGACCCTGCTACGATCACTGTTCCAGTAAAATTAATAGCAACTAGATATCTATTTATATCATACGCAAGAAGAAGGATGCACTATACAATCAAAGAACTTAAATAGCAGAGGAATGAGCTGTTCCGCGTATTTACATTAAAATTGATGGAACATCCGCCCTCCCGCGAATTGGGTAAAATTTGACTATTTTACTAAGTGAAGAAACTACAGGAAACAAACGAACCAGAGCGGCGCCTTTATTATTGCTATATAACGCCGCCGCGCGGATGGGGTAAAATTGCTCTCCGTGTACCCACAATGCCTTTCGAATGGATGTTCCACTATACAGTATTAGGAAGCTGCTCTATCTTCTGCTATTTATTATCTTTGCTACAATGTATTTCTGGGGGAAGATATTTTATTCTTGCTGGAAAGTGGTGAGATGTGGTACAAAGGGGCTGTTCCCTTCTTTATTTTTGGCTGCAGCTGAAGGAACAAGTGTACTATTTGCCATCATGTGGATCATTACTGATGTGATTATAAATAATACTGCCCCACACCCGCCCCACCCCCTTCAAAAATTGCTAAATATAAAAGAAATTTAAAATCACATGTTTTAAAATCGAATGCAATAATATGTTACAGACGTTTTACTATTAAAATCTTTACATTTTTGTTGGCAGGCATAATGGAATAGGAACTGTATTAACACCCTTATTTGGTGATGAAAATATTTTCTTGTAATTTATAATTAAAATTATTTAATTATATTTGATTTATATGGCAGTTATATAAACCCTGTTTTGAAAAACACTTAAAAAATATTAAGTACCATGAAATTAATATGGTTTGATCCTGAAGGCTGTTCTCAAAGATGGTTTCATGATTTGTTGGGATTTTCCTATTGAACTTTCAAAGTTTCTGTTTAGTGGGGTTGTGCCAATTGCTGGAACAGCAGATGAACTTTCTACTGCTACTGACAATCTGTTCTTTTTAAGTTGATAAATATTCATATTGTTCTTTATAACAGTCGACTCCCATTGAAAATAGCCGCATCCTCTCTGCTCTTTAACCTGACATCCGTTGCTCTTAGGACAGACAAAGAATGGTCTATTTTGATCTGGTCCTGGTCTTGATGCAATTTTTCGCCTTGTTCTTCGCCCACACCGACACATTGGTGGTGTTATCTTTTCTTTGGTGCATGATCTTGAGATCCAAGTTGGTGTGGTGATGATGCCATTACGTGAAGCTACATTGGCAGGCGTCATCTTTCTAACCACTTTGTGATCACTGGCAAATTCTTTGGCAAGTTTGGTCAATGGTGTAGAATGACCCTTGCATGGCACTTGCAATGATTGGTGAAGTGGTTTCAGAGATCCTGTTGGCAAACCATCCATATGCACTTTTCCGTGGGGCTGTAGATAGTTAAGAATGGTGTTACTTTGTCCTGGAGTCTCAAAGTCACAATGAAGTTTTTGTGCCTGGAATACCTTTACTTTTGTAAACAGTGTTTTCATTGGCTGTTTCAAAATTCTTGGTGTAATATAATTCTGCAAAGGATTGAATGTCTTGCGTTGAATACATTCTTTTCTTTCAGGCCCTACACTATAATTAGTAACAGGAGTTAAAGATTTATCTTGTACTTTTTTATCTTCATTATAAATAAATCCAGCATTAAGGTCAACACCTTCATCATGATACATAGGAAGTGCATTCTCAGAAGTATCTATTGATTCTCTGTAAGGTGAAGTTGACTTCTGAACGGACTCTCGTTCTTTGCTACCAACCTGCTTGTCTTTTCCTATGAATTCTGTGTTTTTATTGCACAATAATTGCCTAGCATATGAGGTACTGTGAATTCTTTCTCCCTGAATATCGTTTTGTCCATTTCTTTTGATCATGTTTGTTCTAAATCTGCTTGTCATTGTCTTTTCCCAAACATTCCTGATGGACAGCTGAGAAGAAATGAAGACAAGGACTTCAATTAATTAAACAAAAAATATTTTAATCAATAAATTAGCATTACTGTACTTAATAACAACAACACTATACAGTCAATAATTATATAATTTTGAAAATTAATTGCTATACAGTATTTCCTGTAATTTAATTTTATCTACTGCAGTATACTCACACAAAATACAATATTGCATTTAGACAGTTAATATCTGAATTTCACAGGATCAGTTATCTTCTATTTATACAGGCACCTACCATTTGACAGCTAGATGAAACTAGTGACCTAGGCAGGTTCGTTAGAACATTTTTCCCTGAATGATTTACTGATTGTCCTGGTCTTTGAAGGATTTTTGGAGTAATTTGGCTCTGAATACTTGCTGTGGTGCCTGGATTCCCTAGTTTAGATGATGCTTTAGACATGCAAACGCCTACTGATGTACTAGGCCTGTGTATTGTAGATTTACCAGGCTTAGAGTAGCTCATTGATGTACTAGGCCTCTGAAGGATTGTAGTGGCAGTGGGCCTTGGGTAAGCAAAGGTGTTTTGATTCTGTGGGTTTGATGATGCATTAGGAACTACTGAGGTACTAGGCCTCTGTAGTATTGTGGTTGTACTAGGCTTAGAGAAGCTTGCTGAGGTGCTTGGATTATGCAGGTGTGATGATGCTTTATGTATTATTGTCGCACTGCTAGGCCTCTGTAGACTTGCTGAAGCACCAGGCTTGGTGTAGCTAGCCGAGGTACTTGGCTTTTCTAGGTTTGATGACGCATCAGGTATGCACACTCCTATTGACGTACTAGGTCTCTGTATGCTTGCAGGCATGCTTGACTTATGTATGTTTAATGATGCATTTGACGAGCCCAGGCCTGCTGATGTATTAGGTGTCTGTAGAATTGTTGCACCAGGCACAGAGGAGCTTGCTGGAACACTAGGGTTCCCCCCTGAATTACTTGCTTTTGTAAGTCCTCGAGAAACACCAGCTTTTTGATGTGGTGCCTTAGTTATGCTCATCCTACAGCCATCACATATCATTTTCCATGCCAACTGAGCAGTATTCTTTGCATCATCAAGCCCTGAAGAACAAAACCAGACAGTAATTATTTAATGCTTCGATGCATATTAAATAGTGGTGAGGTGAGAACATTACAATATAATGGACAGTTCTAACAAGAACATAAACATATGCAAGCATGTGCGTTTGTGGGACAAAATACATGTCAGAAAAGCTCACTCGATGTTATGATTGACTTGACAGTCCATAGACTTGAACAATACTATTTAGATGTGTGTTTGTGTCAGAAAAATATCACAGGAGTGATATTTTGCCCTACCTGACGTGTTATTGTACCAAATATTCAGTATGTTCCCAAATACTAGCGAAAAAAATTTTGGGTGGGAATTATTTGGAACGTACTGAGTATTTGGTACGATAACACAAAAACAAAACATCGCTCCTATGACATTTTCCTGACACGAACTCACATCACAATAGCATTTGCAGTACCTGTTTTGAAAACTGTGTTCACAAGACGTATGCGTTCGAACCAACCAAGCTTGTTGCTGATTGGTCTAATGAAAAAATCTGTACAATTTCATGGTACAAATAGCTCTCAGATCCACTGCTACGGATCTGGAGTCCAGATTGCAAATTATATGAATTTGATTTGAATGGTCCTATTCTTTACCATGAATCCATTTTTCACAATTTTTAATTCAGGCACCGGACCGGATCTGGGCTCAGATGTGAACGTAGCTTAATTCTCAGTATCATTAAGATTGGGATTTTTTTAACATTTAACCACAGACCATGTGAAGTGTCATCACAAAAATGAGTCGTATAGAACACAATATATATTCGTACAGTCGATTGAGTAGGTTGAAATTCAAATGTCTGACAAAATACCTTGAAAAAAATTGCCTCAAAGAATTGATAACTTCCTGTTTTTCTGTATCAATTATTGAATCAACAATCTTTTAAAAGTAAGTAGAGTAAATCAACGTTTGCTACTATAAATTGAGGAATAAATTTGAATCTTGTTAAACCATTACCGACCTGAATGCTGTCTTCCGGTGAACTGGATACCGACATCCTGCAGTGCCCCATTCAATCCATTAGGCTTCCTTTTATAAAAAGTCTGTAAAATAAAATATATAAATAAGGTGTAGATATTGGTATCATTACAGGTTTTGTGGTGAGATATGTGCTGTCAGCAAATTCTCAATATAATGATTAGTTACTCTTGCCCCACATTTTTGTGCAGTAATACTATATTTTTATTGTTTAATCAATGTTTTTTTAGTGAATTTCATACTGTTTGATGATGTTCTTTTCTCTTAAACAGTTGAGCAGGTCTCTGAAATGGATGTAAGCGCTATTATACAAACCTTATTTACTTATTTATTATTATTATTGTTATTTTAATTTTATTATTACTATTATTACTTTTACTATCATCATTGTTATAATAATTATTATTAATATTATAATAAGTGTCCCTTTTAATGGGTAAATGCCATTTGATATACCTTGTACGTAGCTCGGAGGTCAATCCAACTGTTGAGCATTGCTGGCTTATACAGCTGTTTACGGAGACACTCGCGATGCAGACACAGTCCAAGATCCCAATCTGAAGAGCAAGTCATAAACATCACCATAAAAATAATAGTTTCACAATTCAAAAAAAGCCATCTGACATAAGGAAGACGTGGATAATAAAAACATGCAAATATAGTGAATTTGCCAGAGATGTTCTCGATTTTGGGAGAAAATTGCTTGCTCACAGCAGCGTCAGAAGCCGCCCCCAATTTCTAGGAGATTCCCACAACATGGTGGGAGACTTAGTACCCCTGTACAGTAGACATACAAAACAATGTTATTTTTCAATTTTTTATTAGTACCTGACCAAGTAACAAAAGTACACAGCGTTTGCTTCTCCTTTGCAGTATGGTATTCCATATTGTGTTTCTCAGCAAGTCTCTTCAACCATCTCAAGAACTGGCTCAGGATGACACACAACGGTGCACTGCTCTCCACCATAGCCTACAACAAGATACAAGAAAATTAGGGACAAAAAATATTCTTACGTAAACTTCTCCTTTCCAGTCGGCCCCATTACCATTACCTGAGGCTGTACCAAATTACTGTGCATCATCTACACTAAATGTCGGGTTTTTACCGGGCGCAGGCATTTTATTTGGTCTGAATACAGGAGGCCCTCTACAGAAATACTCCTACATACTCACAAACAATCTTATAGAGGGCAGCCTAGCTATAAAAAAATTGTCATGAAATCTATACAGGGCGTACGTACGACGCCCCTCGCTATAAAGTATGGTGAAAGAGGGCGTCGTCGCGACACCATATGACAGGAAAGGGTTAATTAATTTAATTATTCTCCAATAGGAAAATCTAAATTCAGTGTTCTCCTGAAGCAATTTTAGTCATCAATTTTACTAGTAAAATGTTGTGTTTGTAAAATAAAAAAATCTACTGATTAGGCCTAGGTAGTCTAGGTTGGCCTTCTTTCAATATCAACATCAAGGTTACAGTCTATGCCTAGGCTGTGACTGTATGCGTTGTTGATTTTTCGAAGTTGCTAACCCCACTCAAAAGAGGTAACCACTCACACTGCATGCATAGCTGAATTTTTATGGACAAATACCAGTAAACCTATCAATTGGGAGACCACAGACATTATATCACTGGTCTACTAAAGGGTTACTTCTGTATGACTAAAGTAAAAACCACAAAAGGGATATTCAGAATTTGCATTTGTACCGCTAAACTAAACCAACGGCCAGAAGCCTGGGATGTAGTTATGGTGGGAGATGGTGGGCGGTGCCACCCTGCCTTAAGTTTTCCACCCAGTCTAAATCTAATTTCATGGCCCTCCACCCACCCACTTTTCCATCCTTAAAATCCACACTATATTATTTTGAGTTTACCGATGTTATCACTCACCCACCCTCAAAATGTTTATCACCCACCCTTAGTTTTCTACAGCTACAACCCTGAGAAACATCATGCATTCCTTCTGGAGGCAAAAAAAATAATTTTACTCGAGACAACCACTGTTGGGCCATTCTGTACAGACAAAATTCTGTGCTGGAGACATTTTATATAGATAATGTCCATGGTCAGAGCATGGACCTATTAAATTCACCATAAATCATAGATCACAGAGCTCTGGATAACACAGTTTATCATCTAGTTTAATTCTAATTAAAAGCACCTTACATAAGATGTTAAGACATCCCATGTATATAATGATTTTGTAATGAAAAAATAAATCTTAGCACATAACATCAGTATGCTACAATAATATAGAAATGGTCCATTGGTTTGGAATGGACATTTAAGCTTCTATTTTTAAAATCAAATGCACAGGATTTTGAGCTCTAGAATTCTCATAAATACTCAATGATTTAATCTCACCTGTGTGATGCCAGTGAATTCTGTGCAGAACTTGCTGAGTTGTGGTCGCTCCATTGGAAGGACATAGGAATGAAACTCATCTTCTATTGCCCCAGTTGATGTGTTAAGAAGAACAGCGGGGAATTCAACTGTAGAGCAGGGTTATGATAAGCATTCCTTAAAAATTTCATGATTTTTACAGTTATATCACTGAAGAATTTGTTATATTTATAATTGTTTTTAGGTGCTCTGAAGCATTTAAATTAAGTCTCTCTCTCTCTCTCTCTCGGTAGTATAAATGGGTATCTAGTAGAATTTGAATGTGTTCTGTTCAAAGCACATGGTCTGTCCTAAATGTTCAAGTATGCTACACGGTATTTTAAATTATCATCACAACCATCATCAACAACATTGTTATCATCCAGGGCAGCTGTAGGTTATATTTTCTGGAGGGGGGACACTAAGCTGTCCAACATGGGGACTTGTGCTATGGCTGAGCTGGGGGAGGGGTGCCAACTCACAAATGAGATATATATATATTTTTTTAAATAAAAACTTGGCTGGAAATGGCACTCACAGACTGTGACAGACATGTATTGGCTTGGTATCTATAGACATATTCATTTTTGTTTTGGTTCAACTACAGACAAGCTCTGGCCAGTGGAGGGAGGGGGTGCTTGAATGCCCATGCTATCTTGATAAAACAGCTCATGGGCTATCTTTTTGAGATGGGCTCCTTTTTGGGGCAGAGTGTTAAAAGGATTATCTTGCCTTCAAACGTTAAGCTCCGTTCACACAATCACATATTATGTGACAAATTTGTGTGATGTGCCCATATATAGGCATGATTGGTGTCATATTACAGCCAAATATCAAAATGATTATCTTATCTTCAAATGTTCAGCTCTGTCCACACTATCAAATTTTAAGCAACAAATGTGTGATTTTCCCATATATGGGCATAATGATGTCATATCACAGCCATATATGGGCATAATGATGTCATATCACATCCATATATGCGCATAATGTCATATCACAGCCATATATGGGAATAATGATGTCATATCACAGCCATATATGGGTATAGTGATGTCATATCACAGCCACATGTGGGCATAATGATGTCATATCACAGCCATATATGGGCATAATGATGTCATATCACAGCCATATATGGGCATAATGATGTAATATCACAGCCATATATGGGCATAATGATATCATATCACAGCCATATATGGGCATAATGATGTCATATCACAGCCATATATAGGCATATCTCATTTTGTCATATCACAGCCATATATGGGCATAATGATGTCATATCACAGCCATATATGGGCATATCACATTTTTGTCACAAAAAATTGCATAGTGTGGACAGAGCTTTTGCATTAACTCACTTATTTCTTGACATGTGTTCATCTCTTTTTCTTTCCAACATGTTGATTCAAAGTCTATTACTATCAGAAAAGAGAATTCTTGAGCTGTAATAATAAACAGATTAAAAAAAAAAAGATCCAATTGCAATATCCAAAATTAACCAAAGGAAATAATGTATTTAAGTGCACTAAAGACCTTGTTAGAGCAGCTTAGCTCAGTCGGCTAAACTGATGGTAGCCACTGTGTGCGCTGAACCGTGGAGATCACTTGGTCCTCAGTTCAATTTCCATTGCTGTTCTACTTGTATTTCAGCCGTTGGTCCTGTGTGCATTATGGACCATGTGCACGTTAAGAAACACAGTTTACACTGTTTAGAAAAGAGTAGGGGATTGTCTCCCAGTGTACTGCCCAATCAACACCAGAAGCTGGAGCCCACTGGAAATAAGTCTTCTTCAGACTTTCATGGGTTAGTCTTGGTGTTTATCTTTTAGCATGAATATAATGTTGCACACATACATTATTATTATTATTATTATTATTATTATTATTATTATTATTATTATTATTATTGACCATTCTGCAATGCAGAACATGTGGCCGCCATACCGGTAATTTTTATGTCAAGAGGGCCCATAGTATCTACTCATAACAAAATTAATGTGGGAAGTTCGACAGTCACTGAGGATCCCAATGGCTGGTTGGGAATTAAACATAAAATTTGTCAAAAACCAAAAAGAAAAAACTCAAAACATATCTAGTATTACTTACACCAACTTTGGGCTTTTCTTATATCTCTGGAATGTTGGGAAGTTGACGATGATCTTCTACGCAGGAGGCCAAGTTCTCTGTAAAATGTACAAATTAAATTGAAATAATTTATGGTAAATATATTATTCTTCCAACATGCATTATATGATACAAGACTGAAGTTTAAAAGGTTCTGGTTAAAGCTATCTCCACCAATCAGTACATGCAAATTTGCGGAAAATCATTGCAACAATAATAACAGCATATTATCAAATTTGTTGTCAGGCTTGGAGAAAGTGTTTAGCCACATCACATTATCAAAAGTCTAAAAGTATGTTTAATTTTCAAAGGTCAAGGAATATAAATTTACATTGCCTATCCTATAGAGCAACATACATCTTACCTGGCAATATCCTTTGTTGTTTTCATTTCTTCTTTTATTATTTGTCCAACCAACCTGGAATCTATACTGTAAAGTTTTTTAATTGCATAAATAGAGGATATCTCAAAAATCAGCTCAAATTTGTGTGAAAAATTTAATTGCATTCGTAAGATTTGGTCAAAGCCTAATTTTCGGCAAAATCTGCGCGGAAATCGGTTCTTATTTTCCGAAATGCAGACTGAGCAAATATTACTTTGTTTAATGATTGATACAAACATGTCATCATATTCATAGGCCTACTAGGCTAGGCCTGCATTTTTAACTAAAAAAGTAAAAGCAAACTTTCCCCAGTCCGTGTCTCCTCCTAGTAGGCCCAGCTAGGCTAGGCCTAGCCCTAGGGCCTAGGCCCTAAATTCAAAAAAAAATAATTGAGCCCTCCATAAAAAAAACTCGACCCACATGGCCTAGGCCTATAGCTGCAGCTTGCGTAGGCCAAGTTTGGTTTATGCAAAGCCTAGTTGTTGTGTGACTCGAGTTCGTGGGTGAGCAGCCAGCCCTCTCAGCTCTCCTAATCCTATTCTAACAGTACAGAAGGCCTACTAGGGCCTAGCCTAGGCGCGCTGGTCTAGCTACGTACTACAGACTCGGCTAGGCCTACTCAAGGTAGGCTAGGCCTAGGCCTAGTCTTATAAAAGGAGAGTACAACAACAATGCGTAGATATTGATAGCTCACCAGCAAACAAACTAAAACATTGTATTTTAACGAAAAGCAATTCATTTCAAAAATAAGTGAAGCGCCATCATTAACGAGTAGGCCTAAACCTAAATAAATAGGATAATAAAGAAGACTCGAAACAACATTCTTTTTAAAATTCGCTCTCTCACTGAGTAGTCTATAATGTCCAGACTCATATACTCTTTATAGGATCAACAACTGCTGTACACCCACGTCTAACAGGCAGGGATTCTCGACCGACCCACCACCAACACAACGTACACGCGTGGACAAACCGACAAACCATCATAGGAGTTTGGTCTTAAAAAACTGTATAACATGGGTAAAAAACGGTCTCTTGGAGATGAAGCTGCAAGGGTAAGTCCATTTTATTCATAATACATTTCCATTAGTCTTCCACTGTGTATGCCCTTAAAATTGAAAACACTAGGCCTGTTTTAGTAGGTGGCTAGCTAGGCCAGGTAAGTAAGTTAATGATAGGATCAGGCAGCTAGGAGGACTGCAGTCCTACTTGTGTGTGTAAATAATAAATATGAGGAAGTGATCAAGAATGCTAGAGTGCTAAACTTTACAAAAGCTGCATTTTAATTTCCAAAATGGCTATTCCAAATCCACAATAACTTCAGAATACTTTTACTAAAACGTAAAAGAACAACATTCCAACAACATGAAAACCTGAGAAAAAAATAGTATTTTGGGTTTCTCAGTCATTATTAGGCCCCAAAATTTTGTTCACCGTTGTGAGAAAAATGATTGTGCACAGCAGGAGTTTCAATGATGTACGCTGCAACCAGGACTTAAGCAGTGGAATAGATATATAAATTATAAACAAAGCAAAAATATTACATATTTTCAAAACCTTTTATTATGTACTAAATTTTGATTAAAAAATCTATAGGGCCTAAGCCTATAATAATTAGGTGGTGTTGAGATTAAAAATATATGCATGAAACATTTGTAATATAGAATATTTTTCTTTAATACCTGTAATGCAAAAATGAGTATAACCAAGACTTCTTATATACATTATAATGCATAACCATATCTAAATTAATCCCATGTTTGTCACATAACTTGCCTAATCTTTTTTTGATTCTTGAAAGTAGGGTAGTATTTCAGTTGTTCATGTAAGTAAGTGAGTGAGTGATGTGATACTGGTCAGATAAATTCTAGAATGGTGACATGTGGTCATTTTGGAGGCAGAAACACACAGACGATGCTTAGCATCCTGTCGACTTATATTTATAAAAAAAACTCTATCTCTATTATAGGAGTTGTTGCAGACTGAGGAGAAAGTTTATCAGAAAGGTTCCCTGCAGAAGTTGCTATCACATGAACCACCAAAGAAGAAAAAGAAAAAAGACAAAGTGAAGACTAAGCATGAAACATACAAGAAGTTAGATAGTATTGATGCTATTGAAAATGTTGAACACCTTGTAAAAGAAGAAAGTGAAAAATCGAAGACTAAAAAGCAGAACATTGAAAGAATTAAGAAAAGCATGGTAAAGTTCAACTAAAAAAAATCTCATCTTTATTTAAAGATGTATTGCTCCATGCAAAACCCACAAAAAAAATCACAAAAAAAAAAGTTTTGAAATTAACTTTCTTATTTTGAAGTAAACGTAAAATTAAATTATCAACTTGAACATAAAAATTGGTGTATTTAAAAAATGTTGACACATCATTTTACAGCGAAAAATGATACTAAACACTTCCAGTCACTGGAAGCGTTTCATTACTTTTATTATAATTATAAAAATCTGGGTACAGATTTTTTAAATTCAGTAATTTCTATGCTCAGGTTAATGATTTGTATGTTACTGCATAATTTTACTTGACTTAATGGCGTAGAACATGAGGTTCCCTAGCCTTCCTGGTTTCCACCTTCATTCACATTTTTTTTTTGCCATTTCTTCTGCTTCAGGGAGGGAGAGGGAGTTGGGCATCTTCTTGAATTTGGTTTTTAGTGTAGTGGTGGTCGACCTCGTGGACATGGTGCCTTAAATGATAAAGTTAATTTCAAAATTATTTTTTATAATTTTTTTTTTTTCATTTTCAAGGGAAAATATCTTTAAGTACTTTACAAAGACCACTGTTTTCACTGCATTGGTTAATGTAATAATATGTTTTTACCGTATGTTTTTATTATTTTAAAGCAAAGACCAAAGATATTCCTGAATCAGAGTGATCAAATTGCAGTGAACATGAGTGATGTCCAAGACTTGGTCCAGTTTGCCTGCATAGGAGCTATATCAAGCGCACAGCCCAAGTAAGGATATCAAATACAATACATGTAATTGTGGTGGGCAGAGGTGGGCTGGGCCACCCATATCCTTGAAGTTTTGCACCACGGTCTAAAGCTAATTTCCTGGCACTCCACCCACCCTTATTAACCCCCTTGCCCATCCTTAAAATACACTCTATTCATTTAGACACCCACACTTATATGTCTACCACCCACAGTTAGTTTTCTTCCGCTACAACCCTGAGATACTTTGATTTTAATTTTATTGTATTTTAAGGTAATTAGGATTATTATTCTTGGAAATTTTTCAAAAAGTACATTCACAATTTGTTTGATTTGTTCTCAGTTTATTTGTTTTATGATATATTTTCTGTTGTTTTCCCTCTTTACAGATGGTGTAAACTGTTACGTGTTGCAAAAGTATGTAAAGTTGCTGTGGTAATAGTGAGTGGTATTAACGAGAGGTGGTTTACGCAGTACAGCCACTGCTTTACAAATATGCAACAGCTTTTTAATCTTGTGAGTAATACAATGAGTATTGTGGCGCCATTTTAGTTTGTGGTCCATCAACAGCCATCTACAGTATATATGTGATTTAATATTTTCACAAAAATTATTTTGCTCAAACAGCTCCTGTAGCACCAAATGTAATATCAAATCAAATCAAAGATTATTTTCCTTTTGAACAAAGACAGTTAACAAAAAATTCATTTCTTGGTAAACAAATATGAAAAAAAATTACCAGAAAAGAAAAAAAAAGAATTTCCAGAAAAAAAAAAGACAATAGTGGTAAGAAAGGGAGAATGAAACAACAGGATGGAGGATCAAATACCCTAAATTGTTTTTTCTGACTGATTCCCCCATAAGCAAAACATGTAACACTGCAATGATGTAATATAAATAATAATAATAATAATAATAATAATAATAAAAATGTTAGCAATAACAACAACAAAATCAACATTAACATTAATAAAGGTAATAACAAACAGTAATAATAATAAAAAAAAAGAATATTACAGTGACCACAGAAGGCAGTATATTATAATTATTCAATTGTAAATATAAGTAATAAAATAGACAATCTGTTCACTATATCCAAATATAGGCAGGGGTGATCAGAAGTAAGCAAAAATCAAAAACTTACACACACACTTTCTTCCGCATTGGGCATGGATTACATAGCAATTATCATACAGACGGAAACATACTTGAAATGTCTAATATTATTTTTATGGTTATTTTATTGTTAGTCTGTAAAAGTTCATCCAGTTGACAATAGTGATAGATCTGTTTATCGTGGGTTTCTCTTTACAAAATGGAGAGCGAAACGCTATAAGAAAGAATTATATATGTCAAGTAAGTAAACATTTTATTTTTTGTGAATTATAAACTAAATATGTTTGACAAAGTGATGAACTTGCGTCATGCAGTAATGTTATATTTATATTTATATACCGACTAAATATATTCCTGGCATTTGGTTGGTTAAAAGCCGGGTAATAGTTCCAGCCGTGACCTCCTACAATGCCAACAATCTTTGTAGTGGTATATAAAAACAAATGATTACTGGGATTTTAATCGGGTCATAGTTCAAATTATAACCCTTGGGCGGTACAATGTCCCTTGAGTTTGTCCAAGACATAGTACAGCCTTCAGATCACCTGGGGCTATTATTTGAACCATGCCCCTCAATACAGTAAATTTTTGTATAAATTATTAAAGTAGGTGTGCAATTTTAAGTGTAAGTTATCTTATTTCACTTGTATTAATTATTTTATTTACATATTTGCAGAATTACTAGAAAAAGAACCTGATTTGCCCACACATAATGAAAGTGGTAAGTGTGAAATATCAACAAGAAATTTTAGCAATGCCAATCAGTTTATCATTTGATTCTGTCCAGAATTTATTTGACAAAAACATGTGACATGCCTAAATATGGTCATGATGACATCATATCATGACCATATATAGGCACATCATGACTATATAAGGGCATAAAGCAATGTTTTATCAAAGAGAATTTGATACTGCGGACAGAGCTTAAAGCACAGGTGGGCAAAGTGCGGTTTTTCTGCGGCCCGCGAAAAGTAATTAAAAACCCTATGTGTGCGGCCTACCGAGCAACATTGACTAGAAAACACCTTGTTTTTTTACGGCCCGACACTGATCATGTGTAAAAAATATCATTGAAACTGAAAATAAAGTGGTGTGAAAGTAGTGTTTTTAAGGTTTTTGGAAGCTCACTGAAAAACATCAAAGTTTGGGTGAGGCCCTTGGTGTTAAATCAAAAATTCACTTAGGCCCTCCAACTGATTTTTATGCCCACCCTGGCTTAAAGATTACCTTATACTTTGTATTTCAAATAATACTTCTGCTAAATTTTCTTTCTCAATTTTACACAGATGATGCGAGTGATGAGGAAGATACTAAACCGACAAGAAGCGATTATGTTTTAACGGAGGAGGAGATGCGATGGCATGGTTACCCTACACCTGACAGACCAGGCTTCATATCAACGAAACACGCAGACACCATCAGTGATGCCAGTCCCTTGATTGCTATCGACTGCGAAATGGTAAATCATTTGTTTTTTTTTTTTTGATCTGGATGATTTTCTGGTGTTGGCAGAGTAAGGATTGGTGCTTAAGAACGCCCGTGAACCTAACAAATATAAAATAATTTTTTAAATGGTTTTGTTCTTTCCTTTTGCAGTCAATGACCCATAATGGACAGGAGTTAACAAGGGTATCTGTTGTTAATGAAAAATTGGAAGTGCTGTATGACACACTCGTTAAGCCATACAACAAGATCGTAGACTACTGTACAAAGTAAGTCATAGGGCAAAGTATTGTGTGTGAGTAAAAAAACTTATGGTAGGGTAAATAATGCTACCTGTGTATGTACTTTTTTAGAAGACAGAAGAGTGAACTCAAAATGTAAGCAATCATTGTATTTTGTAGTCTTGGGGGAGGGGAGGAAAAAGGGGTAGGAGGGGAAATGTGAGTTACAGGAATGATTATGTTACATACTCTTTTGAAATCCATTAAAAATAAAACTCAATTCTGTTGTATGTTTTTAAAATGTGTTCATTAATGATTGAATATAAATGATGGATTATTGATAAAAGTATCAAAATATATACAGTACAAAAGAATAGTGTATGGCTACGAACATACTCGTCCCTGGCCCAAATGTAACACCTTGAAATAACTTGTCCACACTATCAAATTTTGTTAGACAAAACATGAGGCATGCCTAAATACGTCATGATGACATCGCATCATTGGCCATATATAGGCACACCATGCCTATATTTGGGCATACAACAGTTTTTTTTTTAATAGCGTGAATAGAGCTGAAGAGTTTTTATTCCATTTGATCTGAATGAATATGATATTATAATTAAACTCATAGGTACAGTGGCATAACAAAAGAATTGCTTAATCCGGTGACAACCAGGCTGGAGGATGTACAAAAAAAACTGCTCAAACTTATACCACCGGATGCCATCTTGGTAGGCCAGTCCCTCAATGGAGATTTAATGGCCCTCAAGGTATTCAAACATAATTTTGGCTTTCTAGAATCACAATTTAGCCATTTCATAGTCTTAACTTCACAAGTCTGTGTTGAAGGCCAGGTCACATGCTGTAAGTCTTGTATGTCAATCTGAAGTCGAATGGCCCAGCAGTTAAGACAGGGGTGCCGAAACCTACTGTCCTAATATTGGCGCTGGTTCGAATGGTACGCTTACCTATGGTTTTGGCGATTGATGAAGTCTTCTCGGATAAGCTGTTGTTTATGTAGCTTGTCTTTCAGTATACTTATGCACAGCAGTTTAGAGTCTGTCAAATGCTTTTATTAATAATTAAATTTTTAAATACTGTATTAAATTAGAAATATTGAGTATCATTCATCAGTTTATTGATTATTGGAAACTGCTCTTGCAGTATACGTTGCTGACAACTGTACTGGGATATTGTCACATTTTGTTTTTGTATAATACTTTCTAGATGTATCACCCACATTGCATCGATACCAGTGATCTATTTACGAACAAGTACCGAGTCGGACTTAAAATTCTTACCAAACACTACCTCAAGTGAGTCATCCTTATTGTAAATACTTTTTCATCTGTTCTTGAATAAACATAATAGTATGTGCCTTATACAACACTCTCTTCCAGCAAATACTTGTGTCATAATACTGCATGATTAGGCATTCGTATGCTGCTAGTGCCATAAAATTGGCTTGAATAAAAAAAGTCCCGCCTACCAGTAAAGTGTTCCAGTTGTGAACCTTTGAAATACAAACTCTCTATTAATCTTGAACGAAAAACCAGTCAGCATCGAGCACAAGCATTATGGGCAGTACAGTGATGGATTACTCAGCTCTTCTATGTACTGTACTGCACGTGTTGTAAACATAGCCTGATTTACAATCCTATTAAAAAAAAAAACACAAACATACTTATTTTACTTTCAGTGATTATAATAATAATATGTCGTTCTTATATAGCGCTTCATGACTTTACAAGGCCTCTAAGCGCTTCACATTACTACCCCGGTCATTGGATCAAACACATATGGAACACATTGAACACCAAATTAAATTAGTAAAATGAAATTACATTATCATTCCATAATATTGCAGCTAGTAATCAGCGCAGGTTGTGTTGGAACCTACCAGGTACCCACTTGTACTCCTGGGTGGAGAGAGGCAACCGTAGATAAAGTGCCTTGCCCAAGGACACAAGCGATTTGCACAGCCAGAGTTCCGAACTCCCGACCTCAAGGTTGGGAGTCCAAGCCACAACCGGTGCGCCAACCGCTCCTACATTGTAGGATTATGATTATGTATGTATTCAAAAAGATTCAGAATGTTAATTAAAATTTAGAAAATGTGTTCAGGCTGATACTCTTAATAAGAAATGTTATCATTTTGCAGACGTGATATCCAGTGTAGCAAAAGTGGGCATGATTCCACGGAAGACGCCCAAGCATCAATGGAACTTTTTCTACTGAAACTTAAGAAAGGCAGCAAACTAGAAGACTTCAGTTACAAGAAGAGTCGAGTGCTGCCAATAGAAAGGTATATTAACAAACAGTCTGCCAGAACAATTAGGCAACCCTCAAAAATGTTATCAAAATTTTTAATAAAAAATCTATTATTAAGAGATATACCTCATAAATTATGAGGTAGACCACTTTCATAGGCTGTATTCATACACGGCAGCTATTAACGGTTAGTAGGATCCAGATTACAAACAACTGCGCTTACCCGTGCGTTCACACAAGAAAATCCCTGATCCAGATATCAAGATGATGATGATGATTAAATCACTGGCCAATAGAAACCTGGAATTTTGGAAAGGCGTACATGTGATTGGTTAATGATAGAAATGCGCTCAACTTGCTAACCGATTCCTGGTAACGGATCAGGCGTTCTCACATGGGTGCTGATAGTTAGCTCTGATCTAGAAACTAGGGCTCTAGTGTGAACCTGACCAACATTAATAATATAATTATGAGGTAGATCACTTTTACAGTATTTGTTGTTGGAAAATTCAAGTGTCCTGTGTATGATTTTTGTTTTTCTGGTTTTTTTTTCCAGTATATTCCAGAGAGTTGCTACTGAAAGTAAGAGTTCCGTTCTTATTGATGTTCCTAGTAATCTGAAGAAGTTCAGCAAAGATCCGGTTAACTGTATTACAGCCATGACAGATGCTGAGGTCTGAAAAAATTTGCATATTAGGGTCAAATATCTATGATTTGCCCATATATCATCTGAAGTGATGATGTCATATCATACCCATATATGGGCAATATAGAATTAATCCCCCTAGACATTTACTGTTGGTGCTTATGCTTGCAAAGGCCCATAATAATAAACTGATTAAAAAAGTGGGGGTTCAGCCAATCCCTAAATCCCTCCCCCTTGTTATGTCATTTTAATATGTCATAGGTTTCCACAAAGGAGATGTGTTTTTACTAGGTTGGTTCCCCTATTGAAAAAAAACTCCCCAGAATATTAAATAATTTTACTTATGTTTACTCACTAAATGATAATTATGATTCTTGGCTGGTTTCTCTTGTAATGCCATGGTCAACTGCAACTAATAATTACCTATTTATTACAGACTACAAAGAGAATGAAGCAAGTTGTGAGAGATAAGTATGATCTTATCTGCGGACATCTTCACTCATTCAAAACACTTATGGATGGAATCACTCACGAACAGCATACCATTGAGGTAAACATTTTATTCTGTTTTGTGTCAAACTTTTTGTAGTGAATTCGTAAGTTCATGAACTTATTTACACTTTGAATTTTTATACTTATTAAGCTTCATCACTGCACAAACAATGAGTAAAAGTAACAGATTGAAAAGACAGAAAAGCAAGGGATAAACAAGTGTCAATCACCTCTATCTACATCACTCTTGGACAATTAACATCACATCAAACAAAATAGATCTGGAAAATTGCACGTTATAAGATACAAAAAACTAGTGAAAAAATACTACATAAAAAAAGTATTAAAAGATACATTGAACATTATTATTGGGTGGACATAGTAATAAAAATATTGTTGCCTGTTCCTTTTCAGTCAACTTTGGCTAACGTTGATAGGCGGGTCAGTGACATCTATGCTGCAGTTCCTGACAACTCACTCTTTGTTGTTTTGCTTGCGTCTGGCATTCAGGGACTTGATAATCTAGACACAGGTTTTACAGAAAAGGATTTGTACAGTCGATGCTTTGCTGGAATCAAGTATGCTAAGGAACCAGATGCAGGAACCTGAAGGAGCAGTTGGTGAAAGAACATTATGTTGAGAAAATTGATGATAAACCCAGTAATGTCTATAAACACACCAAGTGTTTACGGCTAATCATATGTATGTGTAGTAGCAGACAGTAAGAACATCTTAAAAAGGCCAACAACAGTTTTGAGGCTAAAGACCATGTAGGCCAACAGCAGCTGATGGTTATAAGAAAATCACATCAACACATACATGGTTTGGCGATGGCTCTCATGAAGAATTATATATATTTTAAAAAGTTTTTTTAATGATAAAAATCTGAACAAAGAACATCATATAATTAAAAATATGTATACTTAAAATGCTAACCTTTTGATCTGCTAGTTGAAATGCATAGAACTTTAAAGTAGTGTTTATTGGGCAGATGTTTCACGCAGTCGTGGTAATTTTTTTGATTCCACAATTATGCCATTCTTTCATCATTGTTTTCAAAAATTGAATCCAATAAAGTTAGATTTTTGAAAATTTATTTACAAAATGTAGTCTTGTTAATGTGGAAGTCGGAAAAAGTCAGAAGCTGGAGCCAGGCTGGAGGCCATTTGGACCAGCTGTATAATGCCGTTGGAGGTTGTCCTCTAACGCACGTCTGATAAGCTTCCCAGCATAATGCCGATAACCACTTATACTCCTGGGATGAAGACTTGGTTTAAAAGAGGCTGACAAAGAATAGGAGATTTCATCCATGGTAATAGTGGTCCGATCCCCTGACGATATTTAAAAAGACAAGAAACAAGTTCATGAAACAAGGTGTAAAAAGTGTCTCATCTAAACAATGGAATGAAGACTAGAAAGGAGATAAATTTGAAGTTCATTGCAAGTTATCAACACAGATGTTGAAGCCAACACAAGTTTTCAATTTCATTATAACCCTTAAATAATCATTAAAAATAGTTTTGAAAAACTTGCTATGCATATGACTGAGGATAGTGTGGTTGCATAAACAATAAGGCATTCTATATCAATCCCTGAATTTAAAATATCACTTCCGAGAAAATCTTGGCACTAGTCCTTCAACCTTTACTGAAGAGTTGTGGTTTATTTCAAAATCTGCGATTTGTGAAGAAAACAAAATACAAAAAATATATTTTCTATAAGATGCATACATATTAGAAGCTTATTAAATTCAATTTTTCATACATTAAAAAAAAAACACTATATTATTCTTTCAATAATGGTAATGAAAATAATATTAACAACAATAATCATAAGACCATATTTATGTACTGTATCACCTATATGGATCGCTATATATACCGTATTCTACTGTACACAAAAGGTTGTAGGCTTATACTGTACATATTTTAATAACATGATCCACAAAAGTAACCCTCACACTAATGAAAACATACCAATAAATGAAGGCTTTGTATCAACAATTGTATTATCAACAATGAATTTATTGCATTTTTTAATCTAAAAACAACTGTACAATACAGACTTGCCTTCTGCAGGTAAGTCATTTATATCTATACAAGATAAGATAATAAAAAAACAATAGAATACAGTGGCAGATTCGGGGAGGGGGAAGCCGACCCAGTACCACTAAATTTTTAAAAAAATAATGGAGAAAAAAAAATTTTATTAAAAATTTCTGGCTATCTAGATGTGCCATAATAATAAAATTTCTTATCTCAGCCCCAACCATGGTGGAGTTGAGGTGGGTGGATCCTTTACTTCCCTTGGTCACCTCCATTACGAAATTCCTGGATCCGCCACTGGAATATTCCCCAGGATATTTTACTAGGTAACAAAGTTTTAATCATGCCATAAAACATTTGATTTTGATCGTAACATTGTAATTAATAAATTCCGAAATGGGTAAGGAAATCTTAATTTTTTTGCCTTTAATTAAAACTTTGTTTTTCATAGTAATAATAAACAAACGCTTGAATGTATTAGCATGGAATTGCACAATGCAATCTGGCAATTAGGGCCCTGTTCACACGGATACCAAAACTTGGGATATTCGTATGGCCTGTCCACACTATCATATTTTATTTGACAAAAATATATGACATGCCTAAATATGGATATGATGACATCACATCATGACCATATATAGGCACATCATGACTATATATGGGCATACAACGTTTTTTTTTATCATTTGATAGTCCTGACAGGGCTTTAAACAGCCTCAATAATTGTTAATGGAAAACAAAAAATATATATTTACATTTTGATTATTAAATAGAATTTGTGACTGACTAGATATTACACTGTATATGACGGAATTTCTTTCTCCATTTTGAAATTCGATCAAAAGGTGTTCTTTCACCCATATTCCATCATATACTGTATGAGATAAACAACTGCTGAAATGTCACACTTATATTCAGGGTAATTTTTAAATATATTTTTTTTTGAATATGGGATCTATTTTCAATAAAATGCCAATAAACTCTGAATTTGTTTTGCATATAGGATTAAGTACAGAACTCACCGGTCTGATGAAAGTTTTCACATAGACCTCATTTGAAAATGAAGCACCTTTTTGATTTTGTATTTATACAAAGATCTAAATGACCTTTCCTATACTGTACTTGGATTCAGTTTATCAAATATTGCCATTTTACAAAGTAGAAATACTTTCATTTATGGATTAAACAATCTTAAAGTTTGAGGCCCAGCCAAAAACAAAGACAATGCTTTTGATTTAGCATAATTATACAAGTAAACAATGATAAATAATGAAAATGTAGTACAACTGCAAATTACAATGTACTAATAAATCAGTCACTATGGCCTACATAGAGGTGTAACTACAGGAGTGAAGAACAGGGCACATGTCCCGGGCACCTGAGCAGGAAAGGTGCACTATCGCCATTCTTGCCGCGAGTGCCAAAATCCCTAGTTTCACCCCAGGTCCTACATCACAAAACCTTTGAATACTTAATATTCACTTAATATAATATTTTCCATCCTAGACCTTTTAATTACTGGCATTTTATGACATACAATTCAGAATACAAAATATAGCATTGAGTTCTGGATTAGAGAGGTGTTGATAGATTTTCCTATTAGTCATGGTCTTTGGTCTTATCCTGTATGATGAGAATATTATATATATGGAAAACCTCATCTCCTAGCCTAAATATCTTCAAGGTATGTTTGTATTTTCATATGATTTGCAAAGCCATATATGGAGAAAAGTACATGCGGCAAAGACAAGCCAAACCAGTCACTCGTCGCAAAAATCAATTTTTAGTATTAATATAGTATTAAAGAGTAAAATGAGAGATATAAAATTTGTAAAAGAATCATTTAAATCTGACATTTCATTATGAAGTTACAGGAGTTTAAACATACAGCTGTTTAAAGAACAATATTTGAGAAATCAGCCTTCAAAGTTTATGATTTCAGGCATTTCCAGGCTTAAATCTATAAAGATTAGTTTAGTGCAATAAAATAGATTAAAAAAATGTTGAAATTCCAGTATGTTTTGGCCATTATCTCTGAAACAGGATTTGCAATGAGCGACTGATTTGGCTTTTCTTGCCACACATGTTGAATACAGGTCTTCCAATAGCTTTGTCCACACTATATGTGACAAAAGTACCCATATATGGGCATCATGATGTCATACCACATGCACACATGGTCATGATGACATCATTTCACACCCATATATTGGAAATTCATTTGTGAAACATCAGACTCCCTGAAATTGGGATGGCATCTCACACTTCTGCGAGAAAGCGCAATTCTTGCTGGAAACTAATCTGTCTCCCGCAAATTCAAATTTGCATGTTTTTACAATTGTATTAACAATTATCTCTTGCTAACAAAACTAGATATTTCTAGAAGTGGTTTCTTCCAACTTAGGATTACTGATTTGTCAAATAAAATAGGTACAATTGTATGTGAACGACTTTCAGAAATTTGAACAGAGCTTTTGTAATTAGCTAAGGTTTATTATTATTATCTTAACCAAATGATTATTACACACAACACCACTGGGCCTTGGGTAGTGTGAAGAGATGTATGCCTTACATGGGCTCATGCCTTGACATCTTAGGTTGCATAGCCTAAATTGACAATCATGAATTAATACAAAATATCTCCGACAATATTTTCACTAGCACATATAAAAGATTGAATTCACACGCCATACTAAATCATTTATTAAATGTCTGAAACCACCTCAAATAAATATGGACACAATCAATATATCATTACTCTAAAATAACATTGTAAAAATAACCACCTAGTCAAAGAGAATAGAATAGCAAGAGGTTTGACTATCCGTATTTTGCATGCATGCAATGAAACAAAAAACACAGTATTACCACGAGCTAGGAGGCGCCCTATTAGAATTGGAATTCTGAATAGAGTTCGAAATTCAAACATGTGTTGTTATATAGATACAGCACACGTATTATACAAACGACTTTTACATGTATATTATTTCTTTCGAAGGACACACTCTAGTTTATGGTAGTAATCTTTCGCGATTGGCTTTCGTTTCAAGGAAAACCCAACAATCAGAACATTTGTGGCAAAGACAAGCCAAACCAGTCACTCGTCGCAAATCGTGTTACAGAGAAAATGGCCAAAACACGCTGAAATGTCAAATTTTAAAAAATCTATTTTATTGCACTAAACTAACCTTTATATATCTATACATCATTCTATGCTGTTATTTTCCCAATTTTCAATGTTAAAACAACACTTTTTAAGGATTTAAAGATAGTTTCTGCATGAGAAATGCCTGAAATCATAAACTTTGAAGGCTGATTTCTCATATATTGTTCTTTAAACAGCTGTGTGATTAAACGCTTTTAACTTCATTAAAGGAAATGTCCGATTTGAATTATTTTTTTACCATTTTATAGCTATTATTTTACTCTCTAACACTGTATTAATAACTCAAAATCGATTTTTGCGACGAGTGACTGGTTTGGCTTGCCTTTGCCACATTTGCTATCCTATCTCTTTTTGGTACTGTATGTTCCATCAGCTACTGTTTCTTTCTTGTAAGACAGCTACATACTTTCTTACAAGCCATAACCTGACACTTTCTATTACATATTCCCCACTTGACGATGGAGAAGTCGAACCCTGTTTTGCACCCGTGAAGATCACGCCAATGGCACTATTACTAAGGATAGCTTCACAGTAGGTACTACGTTACAAGCAAATAATATAATAGGTTAGATGTTAAATACTGGATTAATGTGAAAAAATTCACATAGATTTTAAATTTTTGGTAAAATTAGAACTAAAGTATAATGTATCATACATAAATTCTATACAAGCTTAAATATTGTGACAGTATTAATATATTTAATACCAGTGGCAAAGCCAGCTAGGGGTGGTGTCAAGTGGTGGTAGGGGAAGGGAAGTGAACCCTGAACACCCGTCAGGGAATAAGCCAACCATTCCGTCAGAAAAAACACTGCTTCGAAAAAAACATTTTTACAATTTTAGAGTTGCCTACATTCTTAAAATTGGCCACAACTATAAAAATGCAGCTGGAGGTTGCAACATGGGAAATTTTCAAAAACTACATTGCCGGATATTGGCAAAAAAATATGAGGTGATCAAAGGCTTACGCTTATTTTAAAATTGTTATCAAATTGTTCAAAATATATTAATATAAGCCAAAAACATTATAAAGCAGTCGTAATTTACATCCAAAGACTAATTTTTGTTGGAGGAAATTTATTTTTTGAAATTGTTCAAAATATATTAATATATAAGCCAAAAACATTATATAGAAGTCTTAATTTACATCTAAAGGCTAATTTTTGTTGGAGGAATTTTTTTTTCTGGATGCTTAAATAATTGGCAGCCCAGCTTAAAATCAATTGAGAGCCACATTTAGCCTGTGGTGTACCATCTGAGGAAGCATGAGCTACGAAAATCTCTAGAAAATACCTGAGTTGCAAAATTATGTTACTTAAACTGCAATAATGTTACCTACTGCAAGTACAGTATGAGTTGAATCTAACAGCTCTTATTTAAAGACAGCATTTACTGATAATCCATGTTCCAACGAGAAAGAGTAATATCGCCAAAAATTTAAAAAGAAATTGGTTATACTGCTGTGTCACTGTTGAGTTGATAACGGATGAACTTGATTGGATGTAAAACGTCCAGATGATGGAGATACAGTTGATGAAGGCAGGCTTGCAACTGCGACCTCTGATGACGGTACAACTTGCATGGACGGAGATTGCACTGACGACGACGGCGCAGATGAGCCGCTCTGTCCCCGTATTCTAGTCAAAATGTTCACGTTTGGCAAGTTCATGTTTGGTAGGTTTACGCTGGGCAAGCTCGGCAACCAGCTTCGGCGACTCGTAAAGAAGTTCCGAGTGTGTCTAGCGACAGCCTGCGGGAGGGTGCAAGGTTGAATCCTAGATAAATATGAGCCAAACTGCTTCATATAATCTGTGCAGAGAGCTAAGGAAGAATATGTGTAACATTAAAACAGGTCCAATATTAGTATTATTACTGCCTGTATTTGCATCCTCTAATGTGTGTAATTCATCACTTGACTACACTCTTACCGTAGTATTAATTTCTGTGGAGAGAAAAGCATTCAAGAAAAATTTATCATTTGTAATGGAAAGCCTAAAGGGTGATCTGATTTTTTAAAATAATGAATTATTTTGATCTAAACTGTAGGTTTGGTAAGAGTATAGAATACAGCTGTAGTACTATTTTATTGACAATAAACCGAGCTCATTGGAGTAGACAGTAGTTTCCATCCACTGAGTTTGGTTTATCATAGATAAAACCGTTCTACAGCTATAATAAGCAATACTATTCAAGGATATATAGTATACAGTTTTTATGTTAGGCTAAAATAAACCAACGGTACTATAACTTTGTCTTCATCCATCCATGAGAATAATAGACCTAGGAGGGTCAATCAAACGTAACCACAGACCAATCAGCAAAGGGCCAGAAATGCACACGTGCCTAATAAGCAAACGTATGTTTTTCCACAAACACACATGCTTGCATATGCAGCAGAGACACGCCAAACCAGTCACTTGTCGCAAATCCTATTTTAGAAATGATGGCCAAAGCATATTGAATTGTCACAATTTTCGAAATCTATTTTATTGCACTAAAGTAACCTTTAGATATGTATACATCATGCTATGCCATTATTTCCCCAATTTTCAATATTAAAAACAACAATTTTTAATGATTTGGTGATGGTTTTTGCCTAAGAAATGCCCAAAATCGTAAACTTTGAAGGCTGATTTCTCAAATACTGTTCTTTAAACAGCTGTATGTTTAAACTCCGGTATTAAACTTCATAATAAAATGTCAGATTTAAATGATTCTTTTACCATTTTTATAGCTCTCAATTTACTGTTCAACACTGTATTAATAACTAAACATCGATTTTTGCGATGAGTGACTGGATTGGCTTGTCTTTGCCACATATGTTTTAATACTGTCATTTTGTGTCAGCTTAGGAAAGAGGCGGGGCTTAACGGGAATGTCTACTGGAGACCTGGTAGGCTTAATTACTAACAGAAACATATGAAGTTCTCCTCAAAGAATCTGAGGTGTTCCCTAGTTTTTTTGATTCAATAATTCCATATATATATATATATATATATACTATTATATTAAACGGATGTGACTGCTATAAAGAGTGTGCATAAATAAACCAAAGGATATATAAAACTCCACGGTGGTTGTCCTCCGTTAATGTACAATACATACGAGAACCCATCCTTAGCGTGGCCTTTGATAGCATAGTAGTTTGGAAGGTACTCATGGCGTCGGAAGTTGTGGCGCTCGTAAAAGCGAATGGCTGTTGTGTTTGAAGCAAGAACATGCAGGTAGGTCGCTTTCACGTTAGATCGTTCACTCGTTCCCAGATGTGTCAGAAGGTTTGAGAGTAACGCAGAGGCTGTATCAAGTTTTAAAAAAAGCAATAATAGATTAATATGTTGCAAGATGTTTAGCATTTTAATACTTTGTTATCATAAAGGTGCAGCCCTATCACTGAGGTAAGCCAGGCTGCTCCTTTATTGGCATATGCTTCTCCCAACCATACGTGCAAATAAGCATCTATTTTAGCATAAGCTTGCAAAATGTTGAGGTATGTATGTGGTGTGTATACAGGTTATTTGTATAATTAATAAAATCATCACTGAAAGTTAGTTAATTATTACCTTAATTGTATCGGTGCACTTACCTATACCTCGTCGACGGTATTCTTTAACAACACCAAGGCTTAAAATATAGGTCACTTGAGTTGAACTTGGGAACGTGGCTGATAATATATTCACATCCTAGAAGAACAGGAAATTTTGCATAATTTCACAAAATTCATTGTTATTACTGAGTTATTCAAATTTAAATTGCATTGAATTTCCTCTTCCATATCCATTTTTCACAATGTAATTATACTCATTACATATCACTCACTGATGGCTTATCTCAAGTTTAATATCTTTGTTATCTAATATTGTATCTGGTTCATTGTTCAGCAAAGTTCATTATCTAATAAAACAGTAAATAATGCTGGTCAATGTTCACTGATTTTTTTTTTATTTTTTATATTCCAATATTATTATAATAACTTACAGTTGTACCTGATAATTTTAATCAAATACTGAATAAAATTGAATTGAAAAAAGAAATAATAGAATTGGATTAAGGGGAAAATTAAGTAAATATTATATAATAATAATAATAACTTTATTTATCTACGGATACTCATTTCAATCTTTTTACAAAGGTTGGTCTTCCAAGAGGCCGTGTATTTAACTACTGATATGATAAAAGAAAGGGAAAACAAACATGGAAAAGTAAAAACCTACCAACTGTAAAAATTAGGAACTAAATACTACTTTTAAACAATTTCAAATTTGAAATAATAAAATCTGCGGTTTCAAAAACTGGTCAGGCTTGACACAATATTTTTAAAACTCTTTAAATCTTTAGCATTTTTTGCTTCTTCTGATAATGAATTCCATAATTTTGATCCATGATAGGTGAAACTTTTCTTTTTGTATTCAGTTCGAGGTTTGCATAGATAAAGTTTGTCTTTAGATCTGGTATTATGTGGGTTTTCTTTAGAACTGAATCTGTTAATAAGATATTGTGGGCTTATATTATTCATAATCTTGTATATTGTAATAGCTTCGTTGTGAAACTGGTTTGTATCAAGCCTGTTCCAGTTTAATCTTTTGAGAGCTGCAGAGCTTGAATCATAACTGGACATCTTTGTAATAATTTTGGCAGCTCTATTTTGTAAAACCTGTAGCTTTTTATATAAGTACTATTACACCTTCCCCAGACAACATTACAATACTGGAAGTGTGGGGCAGTAATAGTTTTGTAAAGTGTGCATTGAATGGATTTTGGAACAATTTCACTAGATAACTTAAGATAAAAAAGGCCTGGTAATATTTTATTTTTAACATGTTCAATTTGTTTTGTCCATGAAAGATGCTCATCAATTACAATACCTAAATGTTTACATTGATGAACTCTTTTTAAGCGTGTACCTTCAATTTTCAAATTTAACTCTGTTTTTCCAATTTTTGCCAATTTTTGGTGTGTTCCAATTACCATGAATATATATACTACAGTATAACGATGATAATGATGAAGACAATACAGATGATGACAGATGATATTGATGATGATGATGACCATGGGTTTAGCCAGAAAAACGAAATAGGAAGTCCAAAATGGAAGCCAGTGGGCGTGGCACTGAGACGAAGGGTAGGCCACGCCCATCTTCGAGAATCCACACCGAATATTGGTACGAAAACCACGTACCTTCAATCAATAAATGTTGCTTTTATCAAATGTAAATATGATTTAGCTTTAGTTTAATGTAACATTTGATAGATTTGAAGAATATAAAGAATTTGCTAAAGGTAGACGAGGCCCAATTAGGCTAGGTGCGAACGAACTGAACTACCAAGGTATTTTGCAGATTTTCCAAAAAAAGACTTGAAAATTTATATGAAGTTTACAACGAATGGTAATAATATAAATTTGTCCTGTAATGTTTTATTTGGATTACTTTTGACAATTATGAAGTTAAAACAACTCAAAAAGGTAATTTTAAAGATGCTTTGGTTGATATTATGAACCAACTAAGCCTAGTAGAATTGCTTCGAAAACGAGACCGTGGTCAAGCTACAGATATTATTGCAATCAACATGTGTCAAGTCAATTAACAGAAAGTTTTATCGTATGAGAGACTTGCCAATCCAGTCATTTGTCGGTGTTGGCTTGCAGAGTAAAGCGCTTGCTTTCTATCAGGTGACCCCGTTCATAGGGTCAGTGTCAGCCTCATAACAACCGCTTGTTCGATAACTACATTAACACCGGTGTATCTTACACCATCGGAACAAGGCTGGCGGAACCTTGCTGTGTGAATGTGTGTAATACATCTTTTTATCACTTAACTGTCATTGATTGTTTACACAGTGTAATTAAGAAGGTCAAAACACTGTGCATATTTGGGTCACCTTATTTTTCAGACTTCTAGCTAAAACATGAGTGCAGTAATACTGTAGTAAACACATTGTTTTCTGTATACACATATTAGCTAACGCTAATGCAAATGTGTACCATAAGCTCAGGCATAGATGGTATGGTTTAAGAACTTACTTCTCGGTGACATCTAGCTCTGGTCTTAACTTCAGCCACAATCAAACCGACAATCCTATTCTCTAGAACAGCCGCTAGTGAGAAGAATCTCTTATCACTTGTAATGTCTTTATACCAAGCATCTGGATATCTACAAAAGAGGAAAAAAAAATATTTAAAAAACATGACATTAAATAACATAACTGTTTTAATAATGGCAGTTTTTAATATATTTAAATGTACTGTACCAGGTAGGCATCTGTCTAATTATGGAGGTATAAAAAAGGAGATTTAACCAACATCAATTTCAGGCTAAGTTAATATCTAATTACTTTTCTCTAATTCTGATTGGCTACCTCTAAGAGGATAAAAAAGGCCACTATGATCTGCACTGCATAAAAAAATTGAACACACTGAATAACAAATATTCTCAATTAAAAACGCTGCTTATACAGAGGGATATGCAAGATAGTTTAGGATGTAAATTAAAAGCTGAAAAGTGAATGTGCATGAACCAACGCTAAAATGATAAAATGATGATGTCACTCACTCCACAGGAAACCAAGCAGAACATAACTTTTTCACTTCATCTAGGTCATCATGACAGAGAAAGCGTAACTTCAATTCGTGTTTCACCTCTGCACGTCCACGATAGTCTGACTTGGTGCGTGTACACATGCAGGAAACTTTCACGCATATGAAAGGTATTCATCCACTAACCATACACTTAATTCCCAAGGCCACCAAGTCTGTAAGAAATACCAATTATTAAACAATTGCCAAAAAAACCTAATTTATGAATCAGCCCAAAAATGATGCCAACTTTTTAGGCTGATTTTTTTCACAGAGTGGATGTTACACTATTGACCATGGAGTTGTTAATTATGGGTAAATAATTAGGCCAAAGGTTACTGTGTGAAGTGACTACTGCACAAACAAACTAAAAAACCCATTGAATTTGTTATGTACAGTATGATATTCATATGTAAAAAGAAATGGATACAGTATAATACATAGGCCTATGTTAAATTCTGGAAGTCTTTTAATACTTTTAAGTCAATTATTCAGCATTTAGGCGATTTAATACTAGGAATACGTCCTTAAAGTATAATAGGCTTAGGTTACTCAATGAATCGAGTTGACTGAAAACATACAATACATTACAAATGCTTTTCATACATCTTTTGAGTAAATATAGTACAATATTATTAATAATAATATTAAATTTAACAGATATACCGTATGAAACAAGAATAACAATAATTAAACCTAATTACCCTAGAGCCTGGTTCTTACGAGAGCCCTAGTATCTGGATCGGGAGCTAACCGTTAGCACCTGCCCAATCGGTATCCGGATACCGCTAACGGTTAGCAAGCGCTATCGGTTAGCAGGTTGAGCATCAACCAATCACACGTACGTGTTTACAATTTCCAGTTTTTTATTGGCCAGTGATTCGATCATCATATTTTTGGCATCCGGATCAGGATTTTCTCGTATGGACGCACAGCAGCTAACGGTTACCGGATCCTGCTAACCGTTAACAGGCGTTTGAGAACACAGCCTGTATCAAGCCCGTAGCCAGGGGGGTTCGTTGGGTTCGAACGAACCCCCTTTTCATGAAGTGCCCTTTCAAAAAAGGCTGGCTAGCCTACACTTTAGACCTACCTCATCATTAAAAGTCCTATTTTAATACCTGATGGTTATGCCTACCTAGTAACATAAAAAATTCAGGCCCCAAAACCTTGACTCAGAAATACCGGGATGGTGTCCGGCAGGGGATAGTTTCACCTGTGTATGTATATATGTATATATGTATGTATGTATATGTATATATGTATGTATGTATATGTATATATGTATGTATGTATATGTGTATATGTAATACAACTTCCAAAGTGCTATATAAATAAAAAATAAAGAATAAACCATACTGGATTCTTTGGAGTTTGTATCATGCTACTGTTGTTAAATTACCAATACTGTAGTATTAAAGTAGTAGTTTTTTTTTGCTTTTGTTTTTCCCAACTCCAAATATTACCTCTTTAATATATACTTTTTTTAAATGTATGGCCTCTCAAATCAATTAAATAACACCTGTAAATGCTTCGAATGCTGGACCCCCACCAGGGTTTTGGCCCTGGACATCCAGGGGCCCTTGGCGGCCCCCTGGCCCCTGCAAGTGGTGCTCGCAAGTGCCCTTTCAGTATCAAAAAGAACCCCCCTACCAAAATCCTGGCTACGGGCTTGTGTATGATCAACGAAGAAGAGCAGATTTAATTGAAGTGTTCACAATACACACCCTTCAAATCAGCAAATCAAATCATCATTGGATCACCAAGGGCAAAAAAGCCTTTATCACCCAAAAAGCTGCCCCAACCAGGTCCAAGATAGGCCTATGCCTACTAGTCCTAATGGAAGGAGCAGCACTTCAAGTAAGTTCAATACCATTTATGCAAAATAATATCGCCTAGGCCGTTTAGTAGGCCTGGCAGGTTTACCAGTCCTAGGGTCTAGGTAATTTTGGCGACTGGACCTAGGCCTAGGCTAAGATTCTAAGGACGTAAACAATGAAAATGTACCCTAGGCCCTAGATAGGCTAGGCCTAGCCTCGGCTTGGAAATTTAAATGGCCTTACTTCAGAATGATGGAAAATTACTACCTGTCCAATAATTTAGCCTAAGCCTTACGCCAAAGCTACTCCACAACGCAGTATAGTCAAACAAATACATATTTTACCTAGGTTTCATACCAATAACAGTCAAGTTAGTTCAAAATATATGTAGCAACCCTTAAAACTTAGGCCCAAGCCCCAAAATGACTTGGTTCAGCAGCAGGCCGAAACAGTTAGCAGACGGTGCACAATAACTCTACCACACAGACGACGACATACGTCAACGACGTCCCCGACATCTCGCAAAGAATTGAAACATGAACACTCCCCTCTATCGGTATTTGGTCTGCTCTGTATCCAATTGAGGGCGGTATTGCAACTTATTTATTAAAAAAAATATATATACACAAAATGCATGCACAGAAACCCTTTTATCTCAGATTGGATCCAAATGGATTATTAACTTAACTTGCCTTTAAAATAAGCATCAGCTTATGTTTCCCATAAAATTATTAATACAATGTATTATATTAATTCATATAATGGCCTATACGAACTTGAAAATAGGTTACTTGTTACAAAAATTTAATGCCATATGCTTTTAGACAGATTTTGGCATTAAAAAATGCGCGAATAACAAGTTAGTACTATTTTTACATTTAAAAAGTAATAAAAGCACAGGAATTTAAGATATATTTGTTAAAATGTTTTAGTTTTGTAAAGATATTTCTGTATTTTAAACATGATTTCTAGACCCGGTGTGGTTCCCGCCGATGTTTGGTTAGGAAAAGTGACAGTACTATCTTTGTTTTTTGTTTATTTTTTGCAATTTACCAAAAAAAAAAAAAAAAATAGACTTCATCCAACATATAACAGGGAAGCCTCAATTATTTTCGTACAATCAATCTACTTATGTCTTATTCATATCTCTTATCAAACTTCTCACAATTTGTATGCATGTATGTCTCATTTTCAATAATGGAACCTATGTCGCTGCCAGTGGAAGTTTTTCTGAAGATTATATCAGGAGGGGGATTGCTGCTTGCGTGCCGTCCTCCCAAATATCAACCATCTGGTTGTGTGTACAATCAGATTTCAACTAATGTAGAAGTCTATGTCATAAATTATTGATTGGTCATTAATTACGAGGTGTTTTTTTTGTCTAAAATTTGCAATTTATCTTAAACAAAATGACAACCCAAGCCCTCATGTGGTATTGCTAGCGATTACCGTAATTTGTTTTTTTTTTTTTTAAGATTTGGGGCTTACCATGCCAAAAACCAGAACCAGTGACCATTATAAGCTTCACAATGATGATTTTGGCACCAATGGCGTTCCATATCACATATTTGCATGGCGTTCCATACTACATTTTTCTGGGATTAACAAAAACAGACACTCTCTCCAAAATTATTTGAATGTCATAGAAATATTTCAATACAATCAATATCTGAGAACATACTTTAAAAAATAATACAGCCAAATGTCTACCTTTAAAATCACACAAAAGAAAAGAGATAGATTCTGTTTATTTGATCTGGTAATTTAATCTGCTTTACCCACACACAGTACAGTACAAATATATACAATTATTTCTTATTAAATGATAATCACCACATAACTTTATTATTATGATAATCTGTCAGATAATAACAGAAAAAACTAATTACTGTACTGCTGCTTATTTAATATTAAATATCTGTTATTAATTTATTTATAAATTGGAATGATGCTCTTAATGATAATAGGCCTAATAAAATATGTCTAATTATAACAAATAATAATAATAATAATAATAATAATAATATATATAAATAATAATTAATATTAACAATACTAATAATAAAAATAGCATTCATGACAATAATAATAATAATAATAAAGACAACAACAATAATATTAATAATAATCAAGAAGTCATATACACCATGTTGCATTTTATCTGATACAGCTTTGTTTAATAAGATTTAATTAAACACTTTTTGAATATCTTAGTATGAATACATTACAATGAAAACACCAGGGAATTACAAGAAACACTAAATAATAATATAACACCTTTTAAATAAATCTGAACACATGGAATCCCTAAGAATAAATATTGCACCAGTTAAACTAATTGGAAATAGTGACAAAATATGAAAGATAAATTAAGTGAAGAAATTAAAATTAATTTGTTAATACTGTATTGAAAACATTTTAGAATAGATTAAAACGATTGAGAATTGAAGGGAAGATAACATGATTAAATATATAAATATACATTTATATGTTTGCTCTTTTGAAATAAAATTATTTAGTTCCCAGGAACAAAAGTATAAACTTAAAAGAATAAGATTAAATCAAATAAACATAAAAGAAAATAGACACCAAAGGTTATCATATCCATAATATACAAAATATAATTGGAAGAATGGTGAGTTTCCTTTCCTCAATCACCCAGCAGATTGCCAGTGAACGGTTCAGTCGGCTCAGGGAGACTATCTTCTGGAGTTGGTTCCACGGTCAGAAGCTCCTCATCGTCGTCATCCTCTTCTCCTTCCCCGGTAAATTCCTCCTGTTGCCCGTAGCTGAACGTTGTCTTGAGAATGTCGACCTCGATTGGAAAGACATCGGCGCCCTTCATCTGCGCGTGACTGTCTTTGTGGTACTGCGCAAATGTGGAAACTAAACGCTGCAACTGGAAAACGATATCTTGAACTGTAGATGAAAAATCAAAGAATTCAAAGAAAATCTATTATCAACAAATTTACAGTCCGAATTTAGATACTAGATGCTTTACCCATTGGATGAAAGAAATATATAAATGAAAAAAATATAAATGGTGGAAACATAACAATAATTAAAATTCTTTTAAAAAATAACAAAGATACTGCTAATATGATGCATTTATGAAGCTTGGCATAGACGCAGGTATCATTGAAATCTATGCAATTACTATCTATTTAAGGTGTAATTACAAAACATTCTTGTGTAGATCGCCTTTCGCACTAGCGCCACCACTGCCTGGCATACATACCGTGTTTCTGATCAAGAAGTTCCATCTTCACCATCACATCTGACCTCATCTTTGCGAACCTTGCCCTTGCTTCCTGGCGGCAACGAAGAATCAACCTGAAATAAAACAACATAATCCATTAAGTACAAAACTGACAAAATTTGGCAGCTATTGTAGCGTTTCTATGCTGATTTAAGCTGAATTCACATCGAATCTGAATTTCGGATCGGAAGGCCCACAATACTGATCAGGAAACCGAATAGGGATGCTGGCGTGTAAGAATAGGGATGCCGGCGTTCTGCGCATTGGAAACATGATCTGCAATTTGGTTCAGATCCGAGATGAATGCAGATTTACTTTTGACGCCCTTTTGACCTCTCACTGTAGACATTAGAAAGCTTTAAATTGCACAACAACAGTAGGAAGTATAATGTAATGACGTCACTAAGAAATCATCTGGGCATGCGAGAACGTTAAGTTTTCCCCGTTGGCATTGATTCTAGGACGCAATTTGAGCAAATCTATGGGTTTATTCGACTGGTTCATTTCGTTGACTATGATTTTTCGTAAAATATTATTTTCATTCAATTGGTTCGTAAAATAGACTTCGTTGACAACGAAAATTAACATAAACCAGAGTGTGTTAATCAGAGTAAAGTTATCCATATGACCAAAAAAAACATGGCCGATTGTTCAGTTTAGCATTTGCGTTAATATAGTTAGTATTAAATTTCAGAAAATAAAAATTATACTATTTACCCACAAGAAGTCAAAAAATAATTAAATTAGAAAACAGGTTGGAAGCAATTTTTTACAAAAAAAAACCCATACTGCAACAAGCCGAAGTAGCCTTGATTACGCAGCGTGTATCGTGGTAAACATGCTGCCATTTTGTTTTGTCAAGTATTTTACCAGTTTTCTATCCTTAACTAAGACTGGTTGTCTTCGTTAAGTAGGATTTTACCACTACGCAAGCAGACGTGGTTTAACAAAGAACGACCAGTCGAATATGGCCTATGTTGTGCAGAGAAAGCAGGGCCGTCATGCATGAGGGAATCCGTTCTAGCGTTGCTGCGTCGTGCAAATCGAAAGTTCCCTAATATCATTCTACAAAAGGTATCATCTATTACGTCTCAAGTGGACTAGACTACAGTCCCATTATTAAGCAAAGCAATAAATTTTCACAGCAAGTGACTTGAAAAATACATCATGGAACCAGGAAACAGTTAATTGTAAATTAACTGTTCCCTAATGGAACATAATCTGCAATGCTATAAACTAAGTCTGATGTAAAGTTATGAAAGTGATTTTGTTTGCAGAATTTGTACAAGAGGGCCATGTGATCGGTAGGCTGGAATATTGACAATAAAGCTTTGGCTCCACTTATGACACTATAATGCTGGTTTTTTGGTGGTTTTCCCACATCTTTACCTGTATTCATAGTTGCCAGTTTCTACCCTATAGAGAGGCTCTCCTAGCGCAGCATATGCATACTCCTCATCATCCATTTCTTTCACTTTTAAACAATAAGACTGAAAGAAGAAAACAATTGTATTGATAAATCCAGTAGAAACACTAGCATCTAAGTGCAAGTCCTAAGCTCATGTTAAATAACCCCCCAAAAAAAAAAACTCTTTGGAAGAAAACAGGGGATATTCTCACATTTTACTTACTGCCCTGAAAAACCATTAGGAATTTGTGAAGCTCAGTTGAGTGACATCATAATTTATTCTACTTACCAAATATTCAAATTTAGCATCGGCATACTTTTTTATCGTAAGTCGTGTGTCTGGAATAGCTTTACTCAGGAACGTTCCAAGATCAGCTAACATCTGCAAAAAGTTTGAACATTTAGTTAAGACCAGTAGAAAATATATAAAAAGAGGTTTTTTACTTGTGTTATTAAATTTTCGCTCACATCACGAACTAACACAATCAAAGTAGATTTATGTTAGTAGAAAACAAAAACGCGCATCAAAATAAGCACATACTGGTTGTCAAGCGCTTTTGTATTCTTTGCAACAAAAAAAGGTAGTAGCAGTAGCACAAATTTTGACACGCATTTTTGTTTCACGAACTAACACAATGTACTTTTTCATCGTGTTAGTTCATGATGTGAGCGTCGACTTGTCCCTCTGACACTTGCCCTGATTATCAGAACAGAAAAATACAATTGGATGTGTAAAAAAAAAATCGTTAAACCAGGTCTCTAGAAAGTGTCTTTTTTTCAATTTGGGATCATTTCTTTTGAAGGTAACGTTAATTGTAACCATCTCTTATATCAGTCAACTTACTGGTTTTACGGTTCTAAGTAATCGTATGCCATATTTCTCTACTGTTCGATGGGCTTCTCCAAACTTGACAAAGGCTTCGCAGGCTTTTGGTTGTGGTTCGCGAGCACCAATAACAGAAAACAAATCTCCAAATGCTAATGAGAGAAAATGTTCCACGACAACACAATCATAAACATTGTAATGGTGTCTGTAACAAACATCTACAATATAGAGCCAACAAATTTTAGGATACTTCAACATTATTAACACTCCTCTTTCATGAAACCACTACTACTAACAGTAAAGAATCATGTACACCAAAATACACATTATTTTCCTGTAGTAATAATAATAATAATATGTCGTTCTTATATAGCCCTTCATGCACGAAGCCTCTAAGCGCTTCACATTACTACCCCGGTCATTGGATCAAACACATATGGAACACATACTCAACACCAAATTAAATTATTAAATTAAATTATATTATTATTCCATAGTGCAGCTAGTAATCAGCACAGTTCTGTTGGAACCTACCAGGTAGTAGTGGCTTACACTTGTGTACACAGATATTCCACTTTTGAATCATATTAAAAAGCCATAGATATTATAATACATAACCATTACATAACATTTTTAATTCAATCAATTTTATCACTCAATTGTGGTAAGTTATGAAACAGCTTTGATATTTCACTTGTATACCTAAATTATGAAGGTATTATGTTATTTAAAAGCTTTTTAAAACCGGGAAATACATTTTATCAAATACTAAAAATGTTAGTTTTGTCTAATTTTCTTCTCAGAGTTATTATTAAGTTTACACATCTTCAGATGGTTTATAGTACGTTAAACTTTGTATTTTGTAAATTTTTCATCTATTTAATCAGTACATCCTTTAACCTACAGCATGTGTAGATTTGGCCTCACTTCATGTGCACTCTGGTAAGCGACAACCTCTCATAAGCGACCAATTTCCCTGGAACCGAGGGTGGTTGTTTATAAAAGGGTTGAACTGTATTAAAGTTTGTTGAATCACTAAAATGACTGACAAACCTTTCAGTTTTCATATATTCTTTACCTTTGTGTGTTTGTGACATGTCATAAAACGCACGCAGGAGTCTCTTAGCATGCTCCATCAGGCCTTTGTACATGTTGTGAGTCCTCTCTAGTTCTTCTAGCTTTTTAACAAGTAAATCTTAAAAAAAGAAAAAAATATATAAAATCATTAAAAAAATAAAATAAATCAGTATTATAAGGAATTAAACTCATCCAGACAACAACTCTCATTTAAAAAATTTTACGTGATTTGCTTGTAAGGAGAAATTAAGTGATACATATAGGTGAAACAAAAAACACTAATAATTTATTTTGTATTGATTTTTTGATTTGAATAAATAGATGCTAATTTCATAATCTGGTCATGAATTGTTCAGCAGTGTGGGTATGATGTCCATGTTGCAATCTCACGCCTTAAAAATGCTGAGTGTCCACACTCTAGGTTGGTTGACCTAGCTAGCTGTGATTGTTCAGATTTTGAACAGAGGCTACAGTGAAACAGTGAAAATGTAAAATTATGACCAATGGGATATTCCTGAGCATCTTTCCTGGGTTGGGTGCGAATTCAAGCCAGATGTGAGCCAACCCATGTAGGTTCAGACTTATTTCTTGGCTTGGGCAGAGTCAAGTCAGGCTTAACTCTCACTAGTGTGACCCTAGCCAAAGGGACCCTAAAAAGACCATGTGCATAAACCATACTACAACCACATTTCATAGTGTGCAAACTACTTCCAAACTTACCATTACAAAGGATGGCTCTGCTGAGGCCTAGAGCATCAGCTGTTGAGGAACTCAGATGCTCCACAACTCTATGTTTAGCCTTCTTCATGACAATATCCAGTGTCTTGCCTTGCTTTGGGTCAGCTTGCAGTTTGTTGTAATTAATGATGACATCACTCTGAAGGTAAATATATTTAAGATATGAATAATTCATCCAGTTATAACATAACTCAAATTTCTCATAGTACTATTAGGTCTTCAGAGTTGGCTTCTCGAATTATGAAATGTGATAGGCTTGGCACCTCGACCTCTGATGATTAGTACTAAAAATTCAATATAAACATGTACTGTAAAATATAATAATGAGTTATTATCATCATTATTTATATAATTTTCAGTACAATTTAAAGCCATTCTGGATCTCTTTGCTTTTCTTCCTTCTTCCTGCTTCTTTTTATACAGTAAACATATAATAATTTATTCATTAATTATTGTACGTTTAATGTACACTAACTAAGGCTGTATAAATTTGATTATAATAAGATTGAATTGTTAATTTTATTAATGTAAGGAACACTATGCTCACGTTTAATTAATTTTATTACAAGTTTAATTGATCAGTAAAATTAAATGACAATATTAGTTTTATAAATTTAAATTATATAGTTTCATTTTAATACTGTATACAGAAATTTATGAAACTATATAATTCAAATTTATAAAACTAATATTGTCATTTAATTTTACTGATCAATTAAACTTGTAATAAAATTAATTAAACGTGAGCATAGTCTTCCTTACATTAATAAAATTAACAATTCAATCTTCTAATCAACTTTATACAGCCAGAGTTAATAGTTTTGATCTACTGTACAGTAGACAACCCTAGCTAAAAAGGTACACCTTCGCCATCAAAAGGCTTCTTCTACGAATGGAATGACCTGTTTGAAGCATGAACTCCTGTAGACCAAATCCAGTACCGTTAGGATTTTTAATTGTGCGGGAAATTTACGCGGGAAATTTACTTGTGAAGCAAAGCATTTGTAATATTATTATATCACTGTCTTTTGTAAGCAACAATCCCTTCCTCAACACACATATGATTCTTTACACAGTAGCTCTCTTTTTGAGGCTTAGGGAGTGGACTTGTTCTGGTCATGAGTAAAAAAATAATTTTATGTTAATGGTAATAATAATAATATTTAAGCATATTATATAGCGCTCTTTACCAGAGTTTCACAGCGCTTAAAAGTATGAACTATGGAAAAAGGTGAGTTTAAAGAAGAGATCTGAATTGAGAAAGAGTTGGAGCATAATGGATGGCGGTGGGAAGTTGGCAGGCAGGTAACCAATGAAGCTGTGTGAGTAAGGGTGTGACATGGTCAAATTTCCTCGCTCAAAATACGAGTTTTGCCACCTTGTTCTGAATAAGCTGTAGACGTTTTAATTCTTTAAAAAATGAACCATGAAGTAGAGAATTACAGTAATCAAGACGGGACAGTATCAAACAGCAAACAGCATTATGGACATGAAATAAGAACTCGGGAATGAAAGGCAAACGAGACAGCTCCAAAACAAAAACCTGGCAGTAAACTATTGCATCTCATGTCCTCCTAATGATCACACGATGAAAGCTAATAGGGGTTTAAAAGCACGCCCTCAATACATCTTTTCCCCTTTCTGTGCTTAGCATCCTCTAAAGACCAGGTTCCCAACCTTTTTTGGTCCATTTTGAATTAACTCAAAGTATTGTATACCGGATTAAATGTTATGTTAATCCTCTCCACCAAAAAAACATGAAGTAAAATTTTACCACTGATGGGGTATGTCTCATACATTTGTTTGTGGCCTGCAAAAAAAATATATTTTACGGGAGCATTTTATTTTTAAACAGATGTAATTCATAAGTGGACTTGTGCATATATGGTATTTTATATATTATTACTTTTATGAAATAAAAGTTCTGTAATTTAATAATTTCATACCAAACACCTGTACATACTTTGACTGCTTGGATTGTCCTAGCAACCTCAACTTTAGTTCGACCTTTGACTGATTTTCCATTCACTCCGACAATCTCATCGCCAGCAGCAAGCGTGCCATCCTTGGATGCTGGGGTGTTGTCAAACACCTGAACAATGTATAAGCATGGACACATGGGGGCGCCTCCACCAATGCTGATCCCGATGAGATTCTGTGCATCTTTCTTTAGTGTCACACTCCCTGGAATGGCATCCATGCCCCTAGGTAAAACGAAACGCTGAAATTTAGCTATAATCACACTATAAAATGACAATTTCAAAATATTTTAAAATAGAACAGAATAATGGGGATAATACACTTTGGAGCTCTCCAAGGCCATGACAAAAAGGATTAAATTTTGTGGTTTTATGCATTTTAATCATCAATAAAGTGCATTCCAATTATCGCATGATTTGTAAAATACAATATTGTTAGTAATGTACTTAGTAATTTCTAGTATATTTCATACAAATTCTGAAAAAACAACAGGGCCAGAGCCCTCATATTGCTGTTTAGCAATGAGTCAGGTATAAATAGAATTCAATTTTTACAGTACTGTACAGTACATTTGCATACTATATTGTAGTGAAATATTTTTCTATTAACTGATCTTTTCAATTGATTTTTCATTTTTTTTTTAGTGCCAAGGCAAAGACAGTAATCGGAAATTTGATAGAGGAAATATCGTACCAATGATTTACTCAATTAAAAAAAAAAGGATCATGAAATTATTAAGATGAAAAAATGAACCATGAATTGTCAAAAAACAGATACAAGATTTAAACAAGGTGATAAGTATACAGCCCTAGGCACTTACGCAATTGCAGCATAGGTTGACTCACATTATCTAAAGACTCATAATTGGGACTTTATGAAGGGCCAGTTTGTCCAGGACAGAATGACCAACATTGAAATAACTCACACTATCAAATAGTTAGATTAAACACTTTTATTGATTAGGGCCTTTTTTTTTTCCCACTTAACATTTTTCAGTATTACTGCACAATTTTAACATTTTTCAGGATGCAGGAAGGATAGGAAATTGCAAAATCTGTACAAACTGTATAATTTCTCCCTAAAATCAATACTGTATTATGTTAATGTTAGTAAACAAACATAAAATGGAAGAATACCAGTAAAAGTATAATGTAGTTAGTATACTGTACAGCAACAATGTAATATCTACCAGTGAAATGATTAATACCCCTGTCTTTCAATGAAACATAAAACATCATAAATATTGTACGCAAAATTATTTTGTTTCCGTATTATCTTTAAACAGTAAATGTTGCATCTTAATATTACCTATTACGAA